AATTGTTAAGAGAAAAGAAGCCACCCAAGAATGGTTATGCAGTTTAAATAAAAATTAAAAATTCATTAAAGAGAAGGCGGGAGTAGACAGGAAGAGAGAGATGATCGCCGCTGAATGCCTTCGGTCATACGACAATCTACGACAATCCCCACTTTCCAATGGACATAAAATGACGTATTCGGTCGTACATTTATATACATGTATATGATATATACATCTGCGTTATCATATATAATATTATGTACATATTATTATTACTTACTATTATTATCATTATCACTGTTGTTATTATTATTGATATTATTATTATTATTATTATTATTATTATTATTATTATTATTATTATTATTATTATTATTATTATATCATTGTTGTTATTATTATTGTTATTATTATTATTATTACTAGATTATAATAACATATTGTATATATACATATATATGCGTGTGTGTGTGTGTGTGTTTTTATTGATAACTTTATGATTGCTCTGATTTTTGGAAGTAGTAGTAGCTGGAGGGTGTTAGCGGCCCAAGTTAGGAGCGGGGGAGCAAAGAAGTGGTGATTAGGCGATCGGTTGATTTCATTCGAGCTGTAAAAGGAAAGACAGAGAACTTGTTTTAATTGCCACCCTCATTTCTTATTCTTCCCTATCCTTGTCTTCGGGTACCCGAACCATTAGTTCCCCAATGCATCCATTTTCTTTAATTTAAACAATTCCTTATAAAAATCATTTATGTTAAATAGTGAAACGGATGAAAATCATTATATGCTATAAGAAAACGGAGAAACGGAGGCGGTGACACTGAAGGCTGACCATAAAAATTTCGTTCCCTTCCCGTTTTTCATCGCATGCAAACTTTCCCCTGCAATGAAACAATTCAAGAAGAAAAAGAAAGTCAGGGAAAATATTGTGTTACTATTTACGCTGCTAGAAATTGTGGCATAGAATAAGTGATATTAAGAGAAATGCGGAAAAACGGATCAGCTATAATAATATTCTGGATCATCATATAAAGATAAATAATTATTATTAAATTATTAAAAGACGACAGTGTTCTTTGCAATACCTTCCCTGTATTTCACTTCGGCATTACAAATATTTTCAAGAAATATTAGGATGATGAAAATAGGAATATATATGCAATACCTTATCTTTGTATGATGATCCAGAATATTATTATAGATGAGATGAAAATGAATAAATTTTAAAACATTTCAGTTATTCCAGTACTCAATCTATACAATTCCATTTCTTTCAATTAAAATACTTAACAGTTTTAAAATTATTTATTTATTTCTACAATTGTTTCATTATAAGTTCACTAGTGCTGAAGAAACATTATAGTAAGTTTATGATAAAAACAGTTTCAGTTATTACTGATGTAGTTTAAGCAATGAAGCTTAATAAAAAAGAAATGCGGAAATCAGTCATTCAAATTAATTTGAATCATCAATGATAATGATAATGATGATGATGATGATGATGGTAATAATAATGATGATGATAGTAATAATGATGATAACGATAATGGTGATTTGGCCAATGTTTCCTTGACTATTCGCCATTGGAATTACTAAACAAGATTTTCAAATGCATACTACCAGAGCGGGATGAAATAAATGTTAAATGTCGCTTAACGTCCTTCAAACTGGAATCAAATGATCACCACTGATGTAATAGTTATGGTTAAACGTTAAACGAAGCGGCAAAATGCACAAAAGGTTGTAAGAGTGACACCGGAAATATATATATATATATTGCCACATAATGAAAATTACGCAACACAATGGAAGACAATGAAGGAAGAAGCAATAATGACAGAATAATGGCTGATTATTTCTTACTTGAAATTATCATTTAAATGACGCTTTATATTTTGTGTTAATTAAATCATTGCTATGCTTGTATTCATCATTTCTTACTACTGTTATGTGCTCTTTTCTATTCTTACTACTATTATCATTATTTATTAATATTATTTCCGTTATTTATTATTACTATTACTGTTATTGTCATCACTCATACAGCTCTTCTTATTATAGTGATTCTGCAAGGAAGCATCATATCTCTCATATTTATCAGTTCCTTTCTAATACTACTTTTCATCAAAGGGTTAACATGCAATGACTCTCAATTAGATGATAATAATTTTGAAATTATTTCAATTTTAAATGATTGATCCAACCAATAACTATAAATAGAAGATGGTTGAACAAAATTTCCTAAATTATGATCATCATGGCTGATTCCATAGAGCATTGTAATATAATCATGCAGCAAACCAAGGAGAATGCTTTGTAAGAATTTCAATTGGGTAGATTAGAGTTAACTTCATTGTTCGCTTAATGTTATGTTAGTCTTTCATAAGAAGCAAATTTTTGAAGATTATCGTAACTATAATCCATAAATAACACACTGGCAAAACCTGTTCGGTCATTTCTGCATGAAACTGCAAAGTAATACATAGAGTAAGTCAAGATGTACAAGTTGTAAGATTTATACTTTAGAATATCAAAAAGTAATTAAACTAATCAGTCAAGTTAACTGCTCACCATTATCTACTTCTATTTTGACATTGATGAACTTTTAAATTCAAAACATTTTCAGAAATTCAAAAATTTGGGCGTAGGAATTAACAACCAATGCTCGCAACATTATAATTTTCACAGCGAGACATTCATAGTGATGTTCTGAGATTTTAATTTCAATTATTGGCAGATAACTCAATAGTTTTTTAATTCCAGTTATTTGTTGTGGCAGGCATTTGTGATATTTGATTAGGCGTTGTGACAAGTTGGGTTAGCTGCCTGTCTAGGTATAAGTAAGGTACATTTGGCATGGCTTAGAAAATTTTATCGTATAATATTCCTCCTCATACATTAGGAATGAAGTAATATAATTGTGCCAAAGAAGCAATATTAATTTGACATCACAGCAAACAAGATTTATTCGATATTATGACAAATAAGAGGCGATATTTTAGTGTCATAATAACGGTGGTGTAGTTGCAGCCTGGAAATATGAGTGATTACGACCATTTAGCGGAGCAGTTAAGGCATCCTGATAATCCCGTAGTATTCATGGAAATGACTGCTGGTGGTGCACCCATAGGAACAATCAAAATGGAATTATTTGCAGATGTCTGCCCTAAAACAGCCGAAAATTTCAGGTTTGAAGGAAATGTTGCAAAAACTAAACTATTATATTGTTGAATAAACTGATGCATGATGTCGAGTCATTGTGAGTAGCGAGTACCCCTTATAATTGGCATTTTTTCAACTTAGTTCTTCGAATATTTGTCATAATTCGGCTTCTCATTTAGACAATTTTGCACTGGCGAATATCGCAGAGATGGTGTTCCGGTTGGTTATAAAAATGCCCAATTTCATAGAGTGATCAAAGATTTTATGATTCAGGGAGGTGACTTTGTCAATGTTAGTTCCTCATTTTCTTAGTCACTTGTTGTATAATCTATCGTAATTAATCTGATATTTCAGTATGGTATGTGGTTAAAATTTCTGCTAATAATTCCAAGTTTACTGCTACATTGACTAGATTTTATATGAGACTAAAAAGTGATCAACTTTTTTACCAACTTCATTTTTTTCAATACTCTTTATATTATGTTGTTCATGCTTTATTAAATTCTTTCCTGCAGGGTGATGGTACTGGCATGACAAGTATATATGGATCGAAATTCAGGGACGAAAATTTTGATTTGGAGCATTCAGGACCGGGAATTTTGTCAATGGTGATTTATTTTATTATTAAAGCAAAGTAATGATTTCGATTTTTTATAAACAAAGTTTTGATAGCTTTATTGCAGGCGAATGCCGGACCAGACACAAATGGTTGTCAGTTTTTCATAACTTGTGCGAAGTGTGATTTTCTTGATAAGAAGCATGTCGTTTTTGGTTAGCTATTATTTAGCCAAATTTTATTGATTTTTATTTTGCCTTTCATCTATTCTTGTTAGTAGGGAGTGACTCTTTCTTCCTGAGACGTTAATTTCAAATCAAATTACAGTAAAACGCTTGTTTCGAACCAATTTTGTAGTTTCTTATTAGTTTGTTACAGACCATTCTTTCCCGAGTTTCGTTATTCCCATCTTACTCTCATTTAATTGTTCGTTATTTTACCTTTTATTTCCTCTCTGTCACTTTTCATTATTCAAGAAATATCTAACTTTTTTGGTTTCCAGGCGCAGAATTGTCTCATACCATATTTTTTCTCCATTGTATTCCTAATGGGAACGTTTTTTGCAGGAAGAGTATTGGATGGTTTATTAACAGTGAGGAAAATCGAAAACGTTCCAACAGGTCAAAATAACAAACCGAAAATTCCTATTGTTATTACGCAGTGTGGACAGTTGTAGCTGTCAGTTTAACTATTCTATTTATATTTTTATGTTGTTTATTGCGATCTCAGTCCTAAAAATTATTTTTCACCTCTTATATCATATATCATGCTTTTCCTAGATTTGAGAAGATTCGAAAAATTGCTTGTGTTAGAAAACTAATATTGGCAAAGGACATAAACTACGGAAATCTTATGTTTTATTCTAAATGATGTGTTCTTTCAACATTTATGAGGTGTTAAAGCAATTTGTTAGTTTTATATTTGATGAGTACTTTTACAGAGAATGTCACCTTTTTAAGATATTTTCTGTCGTGAAAAAAAAAAAAAAAGAAACCATTAAGTTGAAAAACTGCCGAAGGCTATAAAAATGTCGTGTCATTTCTTGTTTTGATGGTCTGAGGTATTTCCTGTTATCGTTACATTTTTTACTTGATACGCAAACAGTGAAATATTTGTGGGAAACGGATATCAGTTGATATTATGGAAAAATTTTGCGAAGATTTACTCGAACACTGGGACACTTTTCTAGGGACTTTCGTAAGTGCTTCTTTCCACGTGCTACTTTAAGATCATACATCATTGTTGCATTATATCAGGTTATAGTTTGGTTACTTACTTAACAAGTGGGTTATTTCCTGAAATGGAAACGGTACCCAGTACTTCGATAACGAGCAGTTCATTGTTCAATTTTAAGGTATCTGTTTTGGAGTTAATAAACTTTAAATCATTGGAGTATAAGAGAAGCACAGTCAATGTATACTTCTGAAATGGTGTGCCAGTTGGACAGGTCACGATCTCACATGAGTTTCTTGAGAAGAGAAACAGATCTGCCGTACAAGGTTTTCCCTAGTATGACTGTTGATTGCGGGCGGTCGAGGCTTGATGGGGAAAATAGTGATATTTCGCAGCGTGTCTGGAATTAATTCCTGGTTGTGTTGCAGGCATTAGGTCACTGCTGCTTTCTTCTGGTTTTATGTTATTTGGATTGAATTTTATAGAAAAGAATGAATTTTTTGCTAATTAATGCAAACGAACATGACTCAAGAATCACTTTTTGGCTTCAAGAGTGTATTAGTGAGAAAATTATAAATCATGGAACCAACACTTTGCTTATATTGTAGAAAATGAAGTTATTTACTAAACAGATGTTAAGTTTCCGAAATACATTTCGGGGAAGGTCTAAGCAGTTTCGTTTTAGATCGTATTACTGGGGGAAGGTGCTGTGGGCAAAACTTCATTGATGTTACGCTATGTGGAAAACAAATTCAGCCCACAACACGTATCAACATTGCAGGTATTTTTACGCACTGAGTATGCGTATTTTATTTAGTTGATTGATGAAAGTATAAAGGAATCTCAAAAAATGAATTGGATTGACTTTGTTATACTTGTAAAATTATTTCATTCTTGAACTTTTAGGCTTCATTTTTGAGCAAAAAACTTCATGTTGATGGTCAAACAGTGGTTTTGAATATATGGGATACAGCCGGACAGGAAAAATTCCATGCACTTGGTCCTATATATTACAGAGACAGTCATGGTGCTCTTTTGATTTACGATGTCACGGATAGCCATTCCTTTGAAAAGGCACGTGAGTGGGCGCAACTGGAACTTTTATTTTTTTTTTCTGAAACACCGATTATCTTTGAAATATGTAACTCGGATTACCGATATCTTTATTAGCAAGTGTAAAGCTGACCAGTAAGTCTTTTTTAGAATACTAATATACAGTTAGAGCCGTCTTTTAGCTTATTGCTATTTACTATGCTGTTATTAGGAGAGTGTATAAATCTCATACTGCTGAAATTGATAGTGTTTTTATTACTATTTTGATAAGGATTATATATTCATACTTGTTCAGGTTTTTAGGTAAAAATGTGGGTAAAGGAACTGAAACGCATGTTAGGTGATGACGTTTATTTAATGATTATTGGGAATAAAATGGATTTAGAACGAAATCGAAATGTTAATACTGATGAAGCTATCGGGTTCGACTTTTTTCTAAATTTGATTTTTTTTCCACACAATGATTCTTCATGATTTTTAGTAGAAAACTGAAAAATTTTTTGCTGAAACTTTTAGATATGCGAAGTCGATTGGTGCGAAATATTTTGAAACTTCAGCTAAAGATAACATCGGTGTAACACAAGTTTTTGATTACCTCGTAAAAGGTATATGTGTAACAAAAACAATTTGTGTTTGTTAATTTTACTGAATGAACGACATTATTATCTTGTCCACCTTTTAATGAAAGATTTAGTTTGGGGTGTGCCAAGTTTTTTTTGTTATATATTATATATAACTATACTATATGTATATATTATAACTATATATAACTATACTACTATACTGTATGATATTTTTTTTTTATCCTGCATTAGTACGTTCTACGGAGTATTTTACTAACAAGTTCCCAAAATGAAAAGATCAAAGGCTGCTTGATTTAAAATTTTTGTTATAGTTGATTTATTACTGAAGTTGGTTAATAGTTTCATGGTTTTCTAATAATGGTTTTAACAAATATAAATTTAAAAGAATTTGTAACCAGCTTATAACTTCTCTGGGATTTTTAAAGGTTTGGTCGAAAGAGCGCAACATTCGAAGTTCCAAGGCATAGATATAACTTCCTCCTCACATTATGGTGCATCGCGAAGAAATGATTTACTGATTATTGATGACCCACCTCCAGTCAAGAAGTCTTGCTGTTTTGGCTGATAATCCTCAGTAGGCAACTAGTTCTGTTATTAGGCTTAAGTTATTTCTACTTTTGACAAGACATTGCATGTAAAAATGTACATTGTATGAATGTCGTTTTCAGGTATTAGTTTGTTGACACTGTAAAATTAATCAGTAGTACAATAACGAATTGCCCAAAATTGAGAACTAAGTCAAGGACAATAGTTGAAATTTTTTTGTTTGAAGATAAGTCAAGAACTACAATGAATTGAAAATTTTCAAAATTTTATTGTCTCTTGCTTTATTTAAATCCATTTTAACAACTTCAAAGGTTGTATGGGATATAAAAAGGTGTTTTCTTTTTCTTTTTTTTTTTTTTCTTTTTTTGAAAGAAGATTGTTATTAGCACACAGCGGGTATCACTGAAGCGGTTATTTAGGTTATTCAGTGAAAAACCAGTGTTTGCTGAAACACTGAAGTTTTATTTGTCTGTGATAGCGGTTGGGGTCATATATTAGACTTTCAACACTAACGTGTTCTGTATTAGAATTCTTCACATATTTGAATTGTTTAATAGCAGTTTAGTCCGATTATTGTTTTTTCTTTTTCCGGATTAATTCCATATTGATGTTATGTAACTTTTTCCTTGGAAAAGGATTATAATTATTAGTCTATTATTCGAAAGTTTCCAGATATTTTGCAATTAGTAATTGGAATGTGATCGTGTAATAAAGCTGGCTCTGATTTGTTTTTCTTTTTTTTTTTCTTTTCTTTTCTTTCTTTTCTTTTTTTATGTATGTGTTTTTTTTCTTTTTTTTTGTGTATTTGTTTTTTTTTTTTTATTCTTTTTTTGTGTATGTGTGCAGTAACATCACTTCCATCTTAAATAGTTATTTCCTGTATCGAAACGTCCTATAATTTATTTTTTTTCGAGTTGTTGAAAACTATTTAAATTCCAAAAAAAAAAAAATTACAAAATGTGAGATGTTAGAAATTTGATTTTCATCATTTCAGTAGAAAAGTTTTACTTGTTCTAAGAAGTGATGGAGAGAGGACAGAGGGAGGATTAAGATAAAATGGAGGACAAAGACTGAATGGTAGAGTGATTGCACCATATACGGCAGTTAACAGCATTAAATTTTCTCGAGAAATAATTGGAGTTTATTGTATCATAATCGTCTTTCCTCGTTGTAGTTCTAACCGGTACTATTAGAGTATAGCAATCAATCTAATCGATGACATTACGCTAAAATCAGGGATTCAAATGTTGTTGCAAGAGATTCCGGATTTCCCAGAAATTAAGACTTCAGAATTAAATTGAGAAAATTGTAAACGATGGAAACGGTTATAACACTATTTGAGGAAGTACGGAACCACGTTTCAACTCTTACTCGATGAAATACAAATCTGGATCTAACTCCGTTATACCAAAAATCGACAATAGAAGTATTATGCCAGCAATATGAAATAAGGGCAAGAATCATCAAGGGGAAATTGATGCGCCTCGAAAAAATCAACGACAAGTGGTAGAAACATTCAACTAATCCCGCGTCGCAGAAGAAGAAAGGAGAGAAATATAAAGAAATGGCAAATGATGATAAAGTTATTTTAAACTGATCAACATAGGTAAAAAAACTAATCAATATAAGGACGATATCGACTTAGCTCTTAAACGCTTAACATGAAATAAGGAACCCAGTCTAACTGAATGTCGTCCAGTAGTAAATTAGCCTCAAACTTGGGTAATTAAACCAGACAAAATCAACATTAACGCAAAAATCAACATTATAACAACGCGCAATGCATAAATATAATGAAGAATTAATACGATCACTAAAATACCCCCAAAAAACCACCCAAGTACGTAGAATGAACAATAGTTAATAGGTAAGGTTGATTAGTTCATATGCAGAAATTCATATGTAAGTTCATAGTTAATAGGTAAGTTCAAAGGTTGATTAGTTCATATGCAGAAATTCATATGTAAGTTCATAGTTAATAGGTAAGTTCAAAGGTTGATTAGTTCATATGCAGAAATTCATATGTAAGTTCATAGTTAATAGGTAAGTTCAAAGGTTGATTAGTTCATATGCAGAACTAAGCTGACAACCCGAAAATCAGCGGAAAAATTTGTATAAATGTAAACAAAGATTGGTAACAAAATTAGTTTTTTGTTGTATGAGAAAAGAGGAATGAAATACAATTAGTGGAATTAAATTTATAATAAAAATCTATTATTGAATCATCTTTATTATGATTTATTATTTATAGCATATCTGATAGTAGATAATCTGATAACAATGGTACGAAAAGTTATCATTTTTTAATTAGGAAATCTAAAAGCATTTCCAAAAAAGAAAGAAAAACAAATTATTCTAGGATAATTTATTAATTATAGAATTCATTGATAGTTTGAATTTAATAATTTAAATATAATACAACAAAAGCATAACATACCATCGTTTGCTATCACCGCTAATAATACCAGATGCGAAAATGCAATGAGACTTATCATTATCATTTCTTCACTATCAATGCATTTATTTCATTCGTTAAATTAATTAGTTCGACCACTTATCTATCTCATTCAACCTTCTCCTTCCACTGTTCTTCATTCATTTACCGCCCATAACTTCGTCTCTTTTTAATTATCGCTCCTTTATCCGTTCATCGTTCATTCATTATTATTTTTTTCTTCTTTCAATAGGAAGAAGAAGAAATTCATTAAATGATAAAAAAAACGAAAGAAAAAAAAAAACTAATTTTGAATTAATATTTCATAGCAAAATATTTTGACTTGAACTATTTGATTAAATTTTTATTAATTCAGAGAAATTCATTTGTTGAACTAATTTCATCATTTAATTCCTTTTCTGCAGAAAAAGAAAGCAATAATGGCTCATGTTGTCAATCGATTTGTTTTTGATTTATTCAATCATTCAAATGATCAGGTATTTCAGATCAACTAATCTATTGTATAATGAGTCATATAATATGTAATTAAAAGTTACCCTATAATATAATAAATAATGTGAGAATAAAGAATAAAATCAAAATTAAGGAGAGCAAAAGACTAATGTAATTGAAAATTCATCCAAAATATCAAATTAATGATTGATAATAATATATTAAATAGTTATACAGAAGCGAGAGAGAGAGAGCGAGAGGGAGAGGTGGTGTTTCACCATAGTTGTTTAATTAGATTTCAATCCTATAATTCTTTCCATTAAATAATACAAATATATTTGTTGGAAATTGAATATATAAAAAATGAAGAATATTTGTAATTTCCTAATAAATTTTGTTTTGGAATGAATTATAAAAATGCATTTTTTTATTGTCTCATTTAGCATATCTTTCCTTCTTCAAAAGCACTTTGAAAGTTTGAAAGCAGAAAAAAGTTTCATAAGTTAGAGGAAGGGATATTTTGAAAAGAAAATTTAGCAAAAAATTATTAGCAAAAAGCATTTTTCAATTACTTCAAATATTTAAACATTATTTTCTCTATGTAAGAAACACATTGAAACAGAAATGTATGGTATTATAAATTCTAAATTTCTAAAGTAGAGCAAGAAATATTGCTTAAATAATAAGTCGTACTAATCACCACAAAATTCCCAGAAATGTTAGAATTACAAATTAAAATTAAAATAATTCTGTGAAAATTCACTTCAACAAAATTGACACTTGTAAAGTGACAAAAAAATTATGGGAAAGTGGAAATATATGAAAAAAAGAATGAATAAGTATTTGCGAGTTATAAAAATTGAAGAAAATAACCATCTACGTCTGATGACAGAGTGATCTAAATTTGAGATGAGGAAGTATGTTTGCAGTTTCATTTATAATATCCTTCTTGTCCAGCAATGGTAATAAGGGTAGAAGCATCAAAGGGAAGCTTTCAACCATTAATGCAATAATCATCGTCTAAAGCAGATAATTCATATCGATGAAACGATGTCACATTTTATTGTTTTCAAATTATATCTCTTAAAATGTTTGCATTTTCAATCTTAAAAAGAAGAGATGAAGATAATAGATACATGCACTATAAAATCTACTATATTTCAATTTAGTTCAATTTTAATTTAAATTCGAATCAACTTGATTTAGTGAAATTTGATCCATTTTATTTCAGTTCAATTTACTTTAAAGATTAATTTTGGAAACTTTTAATGAAAACTTTTGTATTCTACGTGGGTTACATCATTTGTTTTTTGCTTTCTTTTTATTCATTTATGTGACTGTTACTTATCTAATGTATGGCACTTTTGGCTCACACTTCACATATTTTAGACAAATCACATTTACACAAAAATTAACGAACAACTGCAAATAACAAATATCTTTAGAACATAAATGAAATAAAAGAAACGAAAGAAACATGTGAGAAATGAGAAGTTAGCGCAATATAATAACATCCTTTCCACTTATCTCTGTCAAAATGCACAACAAGAAGGTTACGAGTAAACATAATTTGAAATTGTTTCATTCAACAGCCACTATTTCTACTTGATCCTTGATCTTCGACACCAATTTGTCTCTTATAGGAAAGTTCTTTGCTAGTTGATTGCGATAATGAATTCAAGCGAGATGTCAACGAATTTGCTGATCGTCGTAATCTTTTATAAAATGGTGCACACATTTTCAACGCTGCCTGCAATAATCATTAATCACTGATTGAGTAACATTTGAGTATCAAGTGCTACAAGAAATACTTCACTGTTCCTTCTTCCATTCCATATTAACTAACTAAAATGTTTGAATACCTCATACGGCGGAGGTGCTTCATCGATAGGTCTCATCGGTTCGATCAAAGGATATCGATCATCCATCGGTTCTTCACTTATTGTATTATAGCCAGGTGAACGCCATGCTGTCGACAGACCAGCAATACTTGCTGATCGTGGAGAACCGGTTAGTGTTCGTGGTAACGCTGATGGCGGAGTAGTTACCATCAGTGGGTCTGATCGACCAGTTACTCTAAAATCCGGAAATTCAGTTTCACTAAAAAGTAAATGGTTCATCTATGAAAATTTGAAATTAAGTTGACTTAAATAAACCTAATATCTTATATTTAAGTAAGCAATGGTGCTAAGGTAAAATCCCTAACTTTTTCAGTTAAGTTGAACTTTCCGGAAAAATATAGATTTTTTTTTAATTTCAACTCCTTTAATTAAATCTTATAAAGGAATTTATACTGTAATAGAATCAATCACTAATGATAAAGCACTAAACAAAGACTTACTTATTGAACATCAAACTCAAAGAGCGACTTTGGAAAGAAATACGGTCTCCAAAATTGCGCCCGATTGATGATCGCCTGGACTCATTTCGCCAGAAGCGCTTTGGTGAATTTCGAACGGTACCGTAATTCACAATAGAAACATCCTCACCGCATGTTGTTGCAACACGATTCCGATTCCGGAAATGACCATTTGGAAGGACATGCTATAAAATAGAGTATAGTGAATTCAGATTTTTTAGATTAGTGTTTAATTTAAGCTTGTATCTGTTTTATGGCATCATACATGTTCATTGATTTCATTAATTAGTTTTTTTAATTATGAATAATTTCATCTGAAAACAAAAAAAAAGAAAAAATCGATTCATTAATTTTGTTGTTCCATTTACATAATCATATCAGTAATGAATCTGAGAAGAAGCGATGATTTTAGATTTTAGTTACAAATTTTATTTCTATGTGCAGCCTTATAATAACTAGCCTGATTGGCTGGTTCCATAAGCATAGCTTCACTATAACTTGGCACAACAAGGTAACTATCATGTTGCATTATTGATGTAAGTTCATGACTATCAACTGTTGATCCATGAGTTAACATACCAGTATAATTCACACTTGATGGACTAAAATTAAAATTTTAATAGATTTTTGATAGCAAGGAAGAATAAATGAATGGGAATGAAACAAACACATTAATTTTATCATTTTTTTTCTTTTTTTTTAAAACAACTTACCTTAAATAATTCGTACCGAACAATTTAGAAATCTGGTAGTTAACATGAGCGGTTCGTAGATCACAAATAAGTCTTAGTGGCCAGCTAAGTAAAACGATGCTAGAAATCCAAAAGGCGGTTGAGGTTAGATACCAAGGACGCTTGTTGGATTGTGATGAATACACAATTAATGATTCAATAAATTGTATTCCAGCAAAATCGAGACCTTCGCGTACCTAAATTTCAAATTCCATAATAAATCTTCCCTTTGTTTGCTGAACATTCAATGATTATCATCTCCTATCACTTAGTTATCATTATTATTTCGTCTCATCACCTAATTATTTCAACTAAAATTTTAACTACTTCCATATAATCATCACGGATTTCATTTTCGATAAAAAAGCGTGAACGTTGATCTTCGAATTCATTAGCTGCTTGCATGCATGCAAATATGAATCCTTTACTGATATTGATCCTAGTGATTGGATAACGCTCCAAATCAATTAGCGATTTCGATATATCCTGAAGAAATATCGATTCCTTAATGGAAAAAAGCATTGCATGCGACATATTCGACAACATTATACTTTATAAAAACTATGAAATTTCTGATTATTCTTCCGCGAACTTTTCTAAATAACACAATAATTTAACTTATCATTCATTTTTGTTTTGCATGCTCATCATATCAGTTAAAGTAGTGGATTGCACATTATCATATTAAACTCAATACTTACTATTAAAGTTTCAAATAGGCAGTAGCATCCATTCCTCAATTCTTTAAAAATCAAAAATTCAGATTTTAATTTAAAAAGATACCTTAACACCACATGCATCATATATGAAAACACTGCCAGCAGCGTGTGAATTGACCCGCTCATAAAAAGTTTGCAATGCTGAGATGGCATCGCCATTTCTATACCTTCAATTTTATAACTTACTTTATAAGTTAATTTCATAATTCCAAAGAAATTTTTGAGATTCCGAAGTTTAGAATGTTTAAAAAAACAAGAAATATTAACAATTTTAACAAATCATCGTAATGTATATGTATTTATATATACTTGACATTGACAATAATAGGAAATAAAATTCAATACTTAATTCTGTACTTTCCTTTTCTATATGATGGGATTTAAGACATTTGAGAATTAAGAAATCAAATTAGCTATGTTTATAATTTTCTTACCACTTGGAATTTCGATTTATAATTTAAATTTAAAAGTTGTACTAATCTTCTTTTCCAATGATATAAAAACAAAAAAAGTTTTAATAGTATACCTGGTAACTTGTCTTGCTCGCCTTACATAATGATAGCAAATACTTCTCCACCAAACTATTGGTGGAGCACTTCGCATCTTCTCAATGTATTCCATCGCTTCAATATGACTAACCTAAATTTAACCAAACTTATGAAGTATTGTATTAATTTTGCTTGCAATTAAGATTCAAATTTAAAATTTTCAAAAAAATTTTAAGCCAGTTAGCAAGACGAATAAATTAAATATTTTATTAACCAATATAGAGAATTTTCATTTCCAATTTTCTGATGAATATAAACCTTTTCTTAATTTCCTCTTACAAGAAACGGACTAATTTACATATCACCTTTTTAATTTTATTAATTTTAGCACGATTATGCCAGCACTCCATAATATAAGCAATGTATAACATGATGCCAAATGCTAATGGTATAAAATTATATCCCTGAGAACATGGCCCATATGAATACCTGTAATTTTAATAGACTATTTAGCATAAAGGATAATCTCTGTTTTATTACTTTATATATATATATCAAATAGCTTTTGAAAAAGCTACAAATAATTTAAACAATATTGTTTGTACTATAATGAAAATGTATTGATTCACAAGCTAGCATAATTAGCGCTATAATTTTTTTATTTTTGAATTCTTTAATTTAAAAAATAATAAAAAAAAATGTTCGAAAAATTCAACTGAGACAATGTTTAGACATATTTACTATGTGGTATCTTTTACACTTATCTGATATTACGTGAAGTACGTAACAATTAAGCTTACTTTGAAATAGTTTGAACAGAATATACATAATAAGTCAGATGGCACCACAAGCCATAACTGATACAGAGATGGACCAGCAATGTTGTCAATAAACATTTCCAATGAAATTTATGACGAAATGCTTTCCACAGTGTTTGTGGTCGTGGCTTTTGCTAAGGAGAAAAAAAAGAAACTTCAATTCATTAAAGTTAATAGAAATTTCAAATTTATTGATTGATGTTTCTGTAGAAGAAAACTAAAACATTAATTGTTTGAATGAAAAGAAATTCAAACAATGAATGTCGCAAAAATTTTGACAAAACGAAACTGAAATTTTATTTCTCTCAATTTGCAATATTCTTCCATTGCGAGAGACAATATTATTAACTAACTTTTCAGGTATTCACAAATTGTTAAAAGATCTAACCACGGGATTTTCGATGTCAACTGCGTATGTCATTATTATTTGACAGCAATAACGACACAACAATAAATTTATACATAACTGTAAATTAATAATATGTATAAATTTTTCATCAAATAAATAATTGAACTGTTTTAAGTGCATCTAAACTTTCTTTTATTACGCTAAAAAGAAAAAAAAACAAATGTAAACTGCGTGTTTTAATGCAATTTACAACAAAATGTCGTTTAAATTTATTCAAAAAAAATGAAAATTAAATTAAAGAAACAAAATCTAGTTATATAAGTATTTTGCTTACATTTAATTATCAGAGAAGTCCTTCGATAATTCCATAATTGCATAATCGTAGTTATTTATATCATTTATGTCACCAATCATTCGATCGATCAAAATTAAACTTCTCTTACTGATTTATTGGAATACATCCTTTAATCTTATCTTGCTCAATCACAAGAAGTTGTTTTATCAAACAAAACTGAAACTGTTATGTGTAAGCTTAAGATGACATACTCGAATTTTTCTGAAAGAAAAAAGTTTCTTATTTTAGATTTAACGAATTTATGAATGTTATTAGTAATGTTAAGTGATTACAACCTCCAATTATCAAAATTTTGAATGGAATATTCCAATAATTATGATTATTGACATTACTAATGAATGAGTAAATGCTAGTTTGTTCGGGTGGAATGGAAAAAAAAAGAGCTTTCAATTGAAATTGCTGATTTTCGATGAGATTTGTGAAAATTGAAGACGAATGCAAGGATGGCCAGATGATCAGTCGGAAAAAAAAGATAGAAAGGAAGAGGAAGGAGTAGAAGGGTTCTCAATTTGGCCTTTTTTTCGTCATTCAAAACATAAAAAGAGATTGAATTTGTAATTATTGTGTTGCTAGGATGTTAAACATGAAAGGGCGCAAGTTGCTTCTTCTTTTCCTCAACAATAATCAATCACTTTTTCTTTTTTTTAATGGAATAAAAGTATTCAGAAGCTTTAAAATTATTGAAATCCTTGCATTGCATGTCAATAACCCTATAATGGGTCTTTTTCTTTTTTTTTTCTTCCAAAATTTTCGACGTTTACTAACAGAATGCTAAATAATATTTGCTTCTAATATTTTCAGTAAATGCGATTTACTATTGCAATTTCGAAATTATAAAAGAAAGTAAAGATTTAACTAATACTTTGCTAAATTAGATATTATAAATTATATTTTATTTTAGGCTTCATCACATTCGGACCAAATTAATAGCGATGAGAACACAGAACAAAGATCAAATCACAATTGCGGAAATAAGAAGATACTACTTTTCACAATGAAAATTTAGCAAATTTATAAATTTTTTGTATAATTTATAAATCATCAAAAATTGTATCGTTTTTATTCATGAATGAAAAAATTTTAAAGAAGTTTTAAAGTTAAAAAAGTTTTGAAGAAGTTAGGAAGCAAGAAAAAAGAAAGATAAAAGTTAGAAAATGAATGTATTTCTTTTTTTACAATAAATCCACTATAATTGGAATTAAATCACACTTCACGTGCTCAAACGTAAAACGATCACTAAGTTAACGATACTATATTAAATTATATGTTAAAATGACGCAGAATTTTTCCTAATTATTGTTGGGAAAATTTTTGGATTATTTTTTGAAATTTTTCAAAGATATCAATTTTTTTACTGATAATAATTGACTCATTGAATTATCGATTATTTTATACGAAGAGGTAATAACATCACACTATTATAGAACAGAATATGAAATATTTGAATTTTAAAAGTGACAAAATATGCATTAGTACCAAAATTTGCATTGAATGATAAGGATTCAATTTACTAATTCTTTTCTTAAAATAAAAATCACTGTGTTCAAAAGTATAAAAAAATAAATTTAAACAATATGTGATAAGAGTGATAAAGATTTAATTAAAACACATTGATTGGGATTTTCTGCTTATTCAAACATTGCTTAATTTTAAATTTACAATTTTAACTTTTCCCATCAATAGTAATTTGATTTGTTATTTTGTTTGCTTTATGCTTTTCAAACAATCGTTAGTGATTTTTTTCAAAAAAATTTTCAAAGTTGTCTTTGATAATTTTCTTAAGAATAATCAAAATAATGGCCAAAAATTTTAATGATAATAACTTCAACAAATATTTTAAATAATATTTTTAAATAATTAAAATTTTCTTTTGGAAAAATTTATTATTCTAGGTGAAATAGCAGCATGCTTAATTATAAGCTTGATTAGGGAATATATTTGCGATTAAATGCAATCAAAGTTTTATTTAACATAAAAAAATTTATGACACATTATATTGGCCATAAATCATCATAATTGGTTTCACTTTGAACTAAAATTTGTATGCCTAACGGCAAAAGATTGCTTATTTTGATTTTTCAAGATTAGTTGGCAAACTTTGATTTACTACAATTAGTATGTAAAAATTATATACTTTAAGTGAAATGATAAGCTAAACGATCACACTGAAATCATTTTATCACTGAGTGCTACTAGTGAGCTATTTTAAGATTTATTATTAGTTTTGATTAGATTTTAAAATAAATGAAGCCGGAATGGGTATAAAAAAATAATTCATCAATTTACTTCTATGAATCATTTTAATTTTAAAGTTTGTGATGAAATAAAAATTAGCGTAATCATGATGAATAGATTTAAATTTGGTTTAGATATGATTGAAAAGCATTTTCTCTCCTTTTAGAGCGCTTTTTTTTTTTTGCAGATTTCAAAGTTCAAAAGAAAGCTTTAAAATTTCAATGAAATTTATAAAAGAAAAAAGTCTCTTATCGTTTTCTTTTCTTTTCAAAAGAAGATGAGAATTGCTGAAATTATTAGCGATGACAAAGATGAACAAAAATTAATGATGTCATAAATTTATAATTTATGATGAGATCAATTTTAGAAAATTCTTTCAGAATAAAAAAAATGAAACAAGAAGTGAACGAAACTTTGTTTTTTGTTTCAAAATTCTATTAAAAAATCGAAAATTTTCAATAAATTTTAAAAATTTGAGAAGAAATTTATTAGAAGAGGAAAAAGAAAACAATAAACTGTTATCAGGCAAATAAAGAAAATGACAAAAATGAAATTAACATAATAATATTAAAAGAAATGCGCAACATTTTTCTAAAGCACAATTTCATCCTTTTCTAATCAGCAACTATTCACTTCAAAACGAATATCCGTACAGCATTCCGGAGAATGGGATGCAATAGATAGAAAACTGGATGAATGGCTCTCAAAGATGAAAAATAAAAATGTAGTAAACATTTTGAAAATATTTTATAGTTTTTATTCTACCGCTTACTTTCTTACATTCATAGATATTGTCTTCAGATAAGCATTACGATGAGCTGAAAAAGTTTTATGAAAATAGCCAACAATGTTTGATAGACAAAATCAGAAAGTTTTTAAGGCTTCTGTCCCTAGTGATTTCATTCCTCATTCGTTACACCGTTTCATATCCTAGCCATAGCAAATATCCATCGCATCATTTATCAAATGGCTTTTGTTGTCTTCCACAATCATTCCTTCCCTTTGCTTTCTCTTCATTTCACTTCAATTTTATCATCGTTTCAAAATTCTCTTCTCGTATTCATTCACTTAAAATTCCTACTTAATCTTCTCAATGAATGACAAAACGAAAAAAAAAAAAAGAAAACAAACAAGAAAACAAAAAGGAAAGAAAAAAAAAGGCAGAAATGAATGAAAATGTCATGAATATAACATATGAATTTGAGAATTTATGAGAATTTTAAAAATTCTCATAAATTCAAAAATTTGATGTTTTCAAGTAAAGAATTTTCTGCTAAAATGAAGGAAAATTTTTTCTATTCAAGTAAACAATCAGCACTTTTTTTTTAAATTCATATTTACGTTGTTTTGAAGATTAAGAAATTGATGTAATTTCAAAATTTTGTTTGTTTCATAATTAGTAACACAATCAGCTATAAATAATGCTTTACGTGTTTTGAAATTTTCCAAAACTTTTCTTGAAGATTATGGAAGCTTTCGTTGACCCATGTTGTTGTCTTATTGTTGATTGAAAGACGATTTTAATGTCTACCAGTTTTTGAGTACATAAATTATTGATTTCATATTCTCTTGAGAACACTTTAAAAAGCTGCTAAAATTTCCAATACATTTACACAAAAATATTGGTTACTTAAATACAAAGCTATGTTTACTTTTCATCCATTTTGAAACATTTTAAAAATTAATCATTGTACATTTGCAAATGCATCTATTGAACACTGCGAAAAAATTCGATCAGTAATATCATTCTTACTTTATTATTAAATGAAATTTACTGTTAGCATCCAATTTCTCTTTTGAAAAATAATTCGCTTCACAATGTAAACTGTTTAAATAAAAATGAAAATAAACAAAAACAATCGTTGCTAAAATTTCAGTAAATTTTTTAAGTTTAAGAAAATTTTATTCTTTCCTTTTTATAAATTTATCAAATTTTAAAATGAAATTTAAAAGCCTTTTATATGATTTTGAATTCGGTTTTTTACAAATGATTAAATCGATTATTATTGAATATTGAAGAGAGCTATCAAATAGTTATCAAATAATCAAAGTAAGTGAAATTAATTGCAATTTATCTATGTTTGAGTGTTTTTAGAAACAGAAACAAACAAAATTTGAGCATTTATAAAATTTTTGGCCAAGTTATTGATTAAAAAATAGCAATTAATCATACGGACATTTGCACTTTTCCACTAGGGAAAACAAAATCGAAGAAGATTTAGTATGATGTATACAAGAGTTGATAATTGCTATCAGATTATTCTCGAAATTAGAAGACCGGAAGAGTTTAATTCCAACAATAAATATTAATCTTACTTAAAAGAAGCTTATTTTTTGATAACCAACAAATTTATGGAATAACCTTTGGGGAATTTATTATCGTAAATATCATTGTAACGCAGTTCTTTGTTTGTAAATTTTGACCCGTTGAAGTCTGATAGCATCGACAAACAGTGATATTTCTGATATATAATAACAGCTAAATGAAGTTGAACTGATTTCAAAGTGATAACAGTGATAAAATGATAAGGAGCGCTGTTCCTTTGATGAATATTCATTTGTAAGTGTAAACTTTCATTGCTTTTATATTTTTTTGATTGCTTATATTAGAAATAATGCTATTTACTATAATATTTAAAACTTTTTTTTCATAAACTCTTGTCAAACTTATCAATTTATCAAATCATTCGTTTTGCTGTGAGAAACTCAATTATCAAAAAATACTTAAAATATCAAATTGTTTCTGTACAATATTAATTTCAAAAAAATCTTTCAACTACGATCCTACCATGAATTTCTCCTATCCCTTTTTTCGTTTAAAATTTCAATTTAATTTTGATATTAAAAGCAAGGAAGAAATATAATGTAAATAAACCGCAGTATTCCAACCTAATTTATTTTTAAAATTTAAAAGCTCAATAAATAAGTAAATTTACTACCTCTGAACATTTTGATTCTCTAAAAAGCAATCGATAAAACAATCAAGAATTGATCATTTTTGATATATACATTGATCAACCCTCAAATGAATATTATAGCATTTTCGATATTATCTTAGTTTACAAAATCATTTACAAATAAATAATTATATGTTACTTTCAAATTTCAGATTAATAAAACCTTTAACATTTAATTTAAATATGATAAATTTTAATGCAAAAACTGCGAACAATAGCTAAGTGATGTTGATTAATATCGAATTTTTTTATTTTTTTGGATCAGTTTTTAGATCGATTTTTTTAGATCAGAATTTCTTAGATCAGTTTTATTGAAATCAGTACAGTGACTAGATAAATTGTAAAACAAAAAGAAATGATCAAAACAATGGACAAGAAAGCTTATCCAATTTTCACGAAATTTTATGAGTAAAAGTTACAGCTAATCATTTTGTTAAATTCCATATCTTAGAGATATGATAGATTGCTATGAACCAATGATAATCCATTGAAGATATTTGGAAATAGAATAGGTCCAAGGTCATCATCCATTAACGATGATCATTTTGTTGATCTTATCATGCACATATAACGACCGATTCATTTGTGATAAACTCAGATCACCATTCTTCTGCATGTTGTTCATCTGTTTTACAGTCCTATCATTTCTTTTCATACAGGCTAATGCTTCTCAAGTAACAATTCAGTTCTTTAAATTTGAAATTTAAATAAGAAGCATTTTTTAAAATATATTCTTATCTAATTAATTAATAATAAAAGTTCATCTTATTAATTAAGCAAGTTTTATGCCATACAAAATAAAAGTAATTTTCTTTTTTTTATAAAGCTATGTTGTAAAATGGTGCAAAAATTATATAGTCATGTAAGGGAATAAATTTTTAAATTATAATAAAATTATGCTAAAATGAGTTAAAATGAATTTGTAAGTACACAAACAAACATTTGAAATTATGCTTGAAAAAGTCACCGTTTTAGGAGAACGAAACGAATTCCATTATAGACAAATCATTAATCGATTTATCAAATGGTAAGTTAAATTTCTTCATTTGCAAATTTCAAATAGTACCTTATTAAGACGTCACTTTAGAATATTTTGAAATTCGCTCAACTATAAATATTGACAAGAAATTTTAAAATTAAAAAAGACAGAAATTGTTTCAACTATTTTTTTAGAAGATTGGAGCAACTGGAGTGAATGTTCAGATTCATGCGGTGGATGTGGCATACAAAACCGTACGCTAATCTTTCCGTATGTTTGTATTACTATTCTCGAAATTTATTTCTAAGGTTAATCTTTCAGAAAATTTCAATAATTTTTGATGAAGAAAATTTACAGATATCATTCACAGATGCAATTTCTTATAACTTTAACATTCTTATAGAAGGAATTTAAATTTTATTATTTGCTCTTTTAGAAATGGTACGCATATTGTACACGTCCGCCACTGTAACCTGAAACCATGTATGGATGAAGAGGAACTGTGCTGTGAACCATTTAAATTCATAAATGAAAAGTGCTTGGTACCGGAAAAAATTCAAAATAAAACAAAAACCGATGATTTAGAAGACCAGAAAAAGGAAGCAGTAGATGCTTGGAGAAGTATTAAAGAAGATGACCAGTCGAAATTTAATAATTCAAAAGATCAAAGGGAGGAAGCGTTACGTGCTTGGGAAAGTATTAAGGAAGATGACAAGTCAAAATTTGACAATTCACAAGATCAAAGAGAGGAAGCAATACTTGCCTGGAAAAATATTAAAGATGACAAGCCCAAATATGATGATTCACAGGATGAAAAAATGGAAGTGTTACGTGCTTGGAAAAGTATTAAAGGAATAGAACTTTCCAGTAATAATAAATTCGGAAATACAAATTCGGAAGAAACTGATACACTTTTCAATATGACCCATAGACTAAACGATACCAAAAATGATGACCTCATTGAGGGCAGTGGAGAAATTGATAATGAAATGGATAGCAAAGCAAATAACACTGAAATTCTTAAATTCGGTATTGAAAATTGGGATGCGCCACACGGTAAGTTCTCTATGCGACACGTATCACTTGACTGTTACATGGAAAAGTACTTAATTTCTCAATTTCATCATGGTAATTGTTTTTCATGTTGTCTTCATTCATCTAAAAATATCACTGAAAATTTTGATAAAGTCCCAAATCATTCCCACTTGTTCGGCAAAAGATGAAACTTCCAATTTATGCCTTTGTAAGATAAGATCGGATTTCAGAAATTTCGTTTTATAGTATTCAACTACTGATGAATTAACACAAAATGAAAAATGACATCACTGAAAAAATTGAAAAATAAAATATCTAGGTGCTATAAGATAATACTATTAAAAAGTATCATTTAATATACTTGCAGATTTAAAAAAGAAAAACAAAAGTGGCAGAAAAGGTCATGATCGGAAGAATTACAAACAACGACAAAGACGTAATCGACAGCACCTGCCACGAACGGTATCAAACCCACAAAATGGTCAAAAATCAGGCAAATCACAAAAAATGTTTGATGAAACATACGAATATGACTACTATGACTACTATTACTATTATTAATTACAAAATGTAAACACTTTTTCCTTGATTTTGAGCATAAATAGGTGATGCAATTTTCCCAGATTCCACTTTAAAATGTTATCAAACTTCACATATTTACAGTAAATCTTCCAGCTATCATTTCAATATCTGAAAAATTGTTTTCATATATACTTTCAATTTTCAATTGCTAAGGAAATATGAAACAAGACATAGAATAACTGCATCTAAAATTAACAATGAAATTTAAATTCGTAAATTGATTGCAAAAGACTAATTGTACATTACTACATCTTCCAATTACGATTGACAAAGAAATTTAGAGGAAAGAAGAGCAAGAAGATATGTCGTCTCTATTGATTATTTAGGATTTTATCTCATTTTTCTTTGAAAAATATTCCTTTCCAAAAAATATACCATTTTATGAAAATTTGATAATATCTGTCTAAATGAAAATCCATCTTTTGTTGTTTTACAGAACAAAAGGTCAATAATCTTTTTGAATTATTGTTGACACAATTAGATCATCGGACAACACTTATATTATAACCCAAATATGCAATATTTTTCGCATCTGATATTGGCTGAAATATTTTACTACATGCATCCAAACATCATACTGATACACTTGAATGCTTCAAGCTTAGTTTATATTCAAACGAGAGTAATATTTTAGCATGCTTAAAATTGCAAATTGATTAGTGTGCTGTGCATATTACTAAACCTATAACTTCTGACAAGTTAACATATAGCCAAGGAAAATAAAGCTAATTTGACTTGAACACTTCCTGCTGCCGTTTCACCACGAAATTTTTATGGTGTGGTATAATAACACATCAGTATCAGTGATTTATTTTAAATGCTATCAACACTTTTGACTATTCCAAAGAATTTATCAATCACCGTCTTATATTTGGACATATTAGGCATCATATGTCCACCTGGATGTTTAACTGCAACAACCATATCTTTGTCGAAAAGTTTCACAAGCTCTGCACTTAGTTCATGAGAGACGACCTGTGTTTTGAAAATCAAGATTATTTTTGAAATCATACACAATTTTAGTTCTAAATCTATAAAACTCCACTTTTAAAAGCTCAACCATCTTCAATCTCACTGAATTTCTCTTTTCTTATATGGAAATTTACTGAATGTGCATGAAATTTACGTGTATATACATTATTCATATAAGTGTAAAAAAAGCTATGATCACACCAAAAACTAAAGTTTAGTGCCTAAAACTATAACATTTCCAGTAATAATATTTTTAAATAATGTGTAATTGCGTTACAACAACCATAAAAATATATCTTTCCATCGTTCGATATCAAGAAATGCCTTCCCTTACATTTGAAAACACAGAAAACATTAACAGAAAATTCTAGATCAAGATGTGAAAGTCACTATAAATTCTCCGAAATATCTGCAAAATCATCTTTCTTGGAGAAAGAGATAAAAACTAACTTTATCAGTTTCGCCGAATACATGAAGGCATGGAAGATTTGGTCGAGCCATCTCGTTCAATCCCTGATGATCAAGATTTCTGCTCGGGAATCCGGATATCAGAATTAGAAATCTAAAATCGATATTCACATCTGAAATCTGATCACTAGATTGAACTTTGAAATAAAAACATAACTAAAAGCAAATAAAGAAAAAAATCTGAAATCCAAACTCCAAGTAAATCTTCGCTTAAAATTGTTGCTGTTGTTTACCACTTGAAATAAACAATTGTTGGAAACCTTTTTACATGTTCAGCAAGTCTATAAAAACACCCAAAAATTAAAACTATGAATAAAAAAGCAAGAATGTACCTCCTTTTTGTTTCAAAGAAGATAATAAGAAAGCTAAGGTTGCACCTTGACTGAAACCAAGTATTCCATCAAAAGGCCCCTAAAATCATCGCTTTTTCCTTTAAGTGAATAAAATATCGCTTTTTTGAAGTAAGAAAAGAAAATTTTGAGGAATAAAACATTAATATAAATGCTTCCCATCCAAACTTGTGGAAACTTCTCTCGATATTAAAAACAAAAATTCGTACTAATTTTAAATCTATTATCTATATAAAACACAAAAAATGAAAAAAAAAAGAAACCTCACTTCCTTCTGAGCAAAGTTGACAACTGCTTGCACAGATTCCTCGAAGCCCTCATGATCTTTCACGTTCCTGGTATGAAAACGTTCCGAGACATACCACCATCCTCGACAATCTATCGGTGCTACACTTGCTACAATCAAAAGTTTGAGAAATGTGACATGTAAAACTCAAAAGAAACTCATTTCATCACACCATAAATAACTTTATACTAAATTAGTCATGGTTTTCAAATAAATTAAATTTTTTGCAGTTGATTTGGAAACAAGCACTTCACGAAATACATTTTTCCTACACTTCAGTAGTTTACGAAATTAGAAATTCCAGTATAAATTTCAAAAATATCCTATAATAAAAAGAAAAAATAAGTGCACCGTAGAAGCTTAAGAATTGCTTTAATTCGTAATCAAAATAGCACAAAATCAATTCCAAGCTTTACCTGATATAGTATCACTTGCAGTTTGTGAAATATGTTCCCATTCAACCTCATGCGGAGCATTCATAAAAACTGAAAAAGAAAAAGATTGATGTTTTAATATTACTCAATAATTATGAAATAAGATAGATACCTCACGCACAGCTCGGCAAAACTCAGTATTCTAACAACTCATGGATCAATTTGCCCAAGGATCAAAGAATCAACGAACTTATATGAATGAAAGACAAATATCAAATAAAAAGACCGTTATATTTTCGGACTATTTGCACAAACACTGAAAAACTTTCCAGTATGATAGAAACACTTAAAGTCTACCGAAATCGGCGTACTTCTTCATGGGGCGCCGGAAGCTGCCTGATTTCTCTCGGAAAACTGCCGCATTTTGTTGGTAACCATGAAGACAAAGAATCTGAAAACTGAGACTTCAAGTAAAATTTTTTTGGAAATTAGAACAAAAAATTTTTTTTCAGAAAATTTTTTTCCAGTTTCAAGATTGGACTTCAAATCAAACTTTAAAATAAAATCTAAAAGAAAATAGGATGAACTATGAAGTTGCAAATTCAATACCTGGAAAGGAACTTACTCTGAATTTCGGCATAGACTCCATTCACTGAAATTCCAAATGAATCTTCAATTTTCTTCTGAAAAGCATGTCGAAATTATAAAAGTCGACGAATACACCTCAAGCACAAGCCTAAAAAGGTACAAATTTACCAGCCAAAATTAAAACCTACCCCATTCCTGAATTTAACACTACTGAAAATGTTAAATCTTATCACCGGGGCATTTTGAATTCCAGTTGATCCGGAAAGGATCTGGATCTGAACTGCTGCGATGCAGTGTACTGCGGACGAAAAAATCTACATGAATTAAATAGCAAAAGAAACCAATGGTAAAGTGCTTTCCAATTCGTTACAAAATTGAAACTGAAATTAACTTCAACATTTTTTTAATAAGAAAACCAAAAAACTGATAACATGTATAATAATAAGAAGCAAATGGAGAAGAATCTGATACTGTGTATAGTTATGGATGTATATAATTAGAAATGAATTGATGATTTAAAATGGCGTTTAATGATGTTTTAAATAATAAAATTAAATAAGCAAAAGTAGTTTTAAAAACAGAGAATTTAAACATCTCGTCGCTGATTAGTAATTTGAGAATGCAGTACTTTAAAAAAAAGAAGTACAAAATAGCAACATTATTTCATCCCACTTCATTCTTTTTATTTTCCTTATCCTCATGGATACTAATACAAGAATGAATGATACATTCGTCATTTTCAAGTATTACATTCTTCCACATTTTATCTGACATAAAATCCAATCCAAGATCAAATCTCTAAATGATAAGAGCTGTAAATAATAGTATCAAATCATATGGCAGGCAGATCCTTAATGCATTACTTCTCAAGATCCTTTGATGCTTAACAAACAGATATTTAGATATATAATTTCCTGTTCCTTTTATCAAATGTTATTATGTGATGCTTGGAATCAGTGCGTTCATATATTATTAATTCTTTATTAATGGCATGATTAATTACTCAGTACAACGATCGAGTCGCAGATGTTTTAGCTTTAGTAATGGATGTAAGGGACATAAAACATTTATCGCTTATTAATCGTTGTGAAAGTCATCCAAGGATTAACGTTTTTTCATTACTGGATATGTAATACCCAGTAATACTAGTTAAATGGAATTTATGAAATGGTAACTATTCCATCTTTTAGTATTTTGATTTTGTAAATTTAAGCACAAAAAGATGTTCAATGCCGCATCTCCTTTCAAGTAGAATTTTGCTGGAAAAAGATGACTGATTACGAGCTAACATGCTGACAATATCATTTGAATGTAGTGCAACAACATAGAAAAAACCACCTGGCGCTAAAATTTCTGACAGATGAGCAAAAAGTCGATCAACAGCATCACGCCCTGTGGGACCACCAGCCCAGCAACGAGCCTGCAAAAGAAACTGCAAATTTTCAGAACAAATAATGAGATAAAAAAGTGGATCCAAGCAAATTTTAGGACGAGATAGCTAAACTGCAAATTTGAAAGTGCTAAAATTAATTCAGGAAACAACCGATTTTACAGAAAGCCACTTGCCACTAAACTAATTCGAAATTATAACTGATTACTAACATAATTAGGACAAGGAAAATAAGAAATTCCTTACGACAGTTTTGCTTGGTGCACAAAAGTAAAGTTAATTTCTAATAATACAAAAAAGAGAAAAATAAGCTTGCAGAGTCCGAAGTAGCCTCATGTTCCGTAGGTACATATGGCGGATTAAAGAGCAACACGTCAACAAGACCATATAATCGGTGATCCAGTGCTGATAACAAATCACACTGAACTGCTTCCACTGCTACATTATTCAGCTGTGCCGTAGCTCGAGTGCACTAAAGAGAGGCTGATTGTTTAAATGAAATTCTTAAAAAAAGTCTGACTAGCATTTTCCATAATTGTCTTTCAAAAAGTAGTCAATTCAAATTTATTAGTACTGATTATAGCCACATCTTAATTTCCCTGAATCATGAAAGCAAGATCCAAAATAAAAAAAAGTATGTGGTTATTTAATCATGGATAGATCTAATACTTCTTTTTGAAAAAACTGAAAATGTTCGAAGGACCAATCAACTTTTAATATGCTGATCGATGATGGTAACGTTTGAAACTTTTGAATTAGATCTTATAAAAAGCAATTTCAAACCTGCAAAGCTTTAAAATTCATGTCTGTTACTAAAGTAAGTACTGGCACACGAAGTAACTGCTGACAAAATACCGAAATAATGCCAGAACCACTCCCAATTTCAACAACTACATTTGGTTCTAACTGTTCCAGAGCCTGAAAAAGAATAACAAAAAGCCTCGTTTCTTCCGGTGATAATTTCATTCTAGCGTAAAAATTCTCCAGCCCTTTATTTTCTGAAAATTCCAATCTGATAAAATAAATTAAGACACCAAAGTTAGTTTTCTTTCGAAACTATTAATAACTCACCCATACCTCTCTATCCTTTTCTAATGCATCCAATAATAGGAAAGTATCCTCAGCTGGTTCATAAACACTGTCTTTCTGCTCATCTGTGATGTGATACAGCGGAGTTGGATGCATTTCGGAAAAACAAGCAGATTTTTAAAAAGAAGAGAAATAGCCACACTCAACAGTTTTTTCTTCGTCTCCCTGAAGTTACCGACTGGATTTTAATTTTTAAAGCACTTCGTACCATCTTTTCAAATTTCTTCAAGTAATTCTGCAACATTGAATCCTGTCACTGTTCAATCAAAAAACTAAACTTCCCCAAAATAATAGGATTATCCAAATATTGTACAACTGATAATACAAAAGAAATTTTACTTTGCTGAAATGTAAATCAAAATCAAATATTATAAACATACAGCAATGAAACAATATGTAAGCAACATAAGTTTAAAGAAATTTAAAAGCTTGATGAAAAATTCCACCAACAAGTTATAGAACCTTAAAGCAAATCTGTCCCACGAGGAAATCTAATCCCGTAACGGGACACTTCATTTAGTATCATTTACTGGATCATATTAATGTTTTTGGTGTAATGCATTTCCGACATTACAGAATGAATATTATCCATTCTTCACAATCACATTTACGAAATAGTGAAATATGACATCGTTTATACATAAAAAGATTTATATGAATCAAAGTCCAAACGGAAGTTAAAACGACTGAAAAGTTTAAACATACTTCGAAGCTACTGACTTAAGTTAAATATTGCATCACAGTTTGAAAATTATGTCATAAAATAGCATGATTCATGTTCTAATAATCACAAAGTTCTACTCAAGAGTATCATTTATTGAATCATATTAATGTTTCTGGTGCGATGCATTTCCGATATTACAGAGTGAATATTATCCATTTTTTCACAATCACATTAACGAATCATGAGACCTGAGAAAAAATTGTTACACTTTCCTAGTTCTAGTTCACTACAGACCATAACGACGCAAAATATTGAGTTCAAACAAACCTATCATTTCTGTCTTTACCACACAACAACTAACCTCATATCTTTAAATTACACATGAATGATGCCATAAGACTCCCCATATACAAAATAGCATCATTTACAAGAAGAAAAATATAGAATTAATGCAGGAGTTTAACAAAGGAGTTCTATGGTCTAGGATAGAAAGCAATGGAATACAGATAGCTCGATTAAAAGAAAAAACCGCTTAATATTTTTCTATACAATGTTGCAAATGAGTACCAAGCAATAATATGAAAAGAATTATACTCAGTTTATGTAATTAATTCGAGCAAGTCAAATAGGAGCAAACATACAGTGTGAATTTCAAATTCCAATTAAAACATCTCGAAAATAAAAATTAGTCTCAAATGTGATGCTAAAGCATGGAAGTTGAACAAAAGCCGAAAGAAAAATTGTATCTATTCAATAGATCTAAGTCGAAATATGAATTAGTTACAGCCAAGTATTTAGAAGTATAGATAGTTAACCAACCTATGACTGTTAGGAGGTGAAAATCTGAGCATGGTTTTAGATAGTTATGGATTACAGTTTTCATAAACTAACAAAAACCTTTAATATCATCAATCTTTATAACATCTTTGAAATTATGTTACTCCAAATGCTCCGAAAGTATTTAATGTTTGAAATCCAAAGAGAAAATTTCACGAAATAGGAGCTTCTCTTCTTGCTACCGATGAGTTAAACACGCAGTCAATAGCACTATCAACAATTTCATGTGCTGTGCGTTCACCAGCCATTAATAAAGGATCGCTCAAAGTCAAATTACTATTTTCAGCTACTGAATTACTACCTTCATCTAATTCAACTGTAGTTTGTTGTTTGCTGAGTGCAGACGACACTTCTTCCGTTTCGGATGACCATGCACCGCCTGCAGTAGTCTCAACTCCGGATGATGAGGCTTCTCCGTCATATAGATTTCTGTCTGTTGAAACTTCAACGGCTACATTTGCCGTCGATGGTACCATTGATGTAGCATTAGGAGAAATGTTTGTTGCAGTTTGCGTACCTGGAGAAGCAGCTGTTCCTCCACCTGGTTGCTGAAATTGAGAAAAAATAAAAATAACAAATTCGAAAAAAGGAAACTCAGTTTAGCTATGCCAAACATGCTGAATATTGGAAAAAATTTGTTTGTTATCAATATAGTTGAAAGTCTTTATTTGAATGATTCTAAAACCTTCGTATTTTACTATAATGTTATCAAAATTATCTTATTTTGGGATAAATAATCTCATGTCATATTGAAGTTCAACCACAAGTACTACGTTTTGTTTTAATTCAGGTGAAACAAAACCGTTCAAAATTCTAAAGGTAAGCTGATGGAAATACTAACCGGATTATGTTGCATGTCAGTGATAATTCTTTGCAACCTATCGTGATAAATAATTAAAGGCATCTCATAATGATGGAAGAAGAAGATCATTGAGTGCTGCATCAAAATATATTCATTTTTACATGATTTAAATGTCATTGTTTAATCAAGAATAAAAAATAAGAAAAAAAAACAAAAAAAGAGGATTATAGGATGAGAAACAACTGTTTAATATATTATTCCAGTGGAATCCAGCTCATTTCATAGAATTCTCATGTAAAGCAGAAATTTAAAGCAGGTTATTATCTCTTAGTCTCAATAGTTTCAAAGATTTCAGAGATAAATTGTCAGTCCACAACAAAGTTTGACCTATCAAAAGTTAGGAACAATAAGTAAAAAAATACGAAAAGAAAAAATTACCAAAATGAACAGTGTAGAAGTAAGTAAGGCTAAACTACCATACTGACCATTATACCGATATTGATAAGCATAGAATGCATAATGATATAAATAAAAGAATCTAAAAAGGGAAGAATTTGAATAAAACGTATTTACGATAAATAGATTCTTCCGTACACGATGAATCTGAATAAAATAAATCCCTCGGAGCAATAATAGAAGTAAAGGAAATTACCTCAACCAATGTCTTTTGCTGATAGGTGAGTGGCAACAAATAGCGTCATACTGATCTGCTATCCAGATTAGTAGTATCACATAAAATGCGGTGGAGGTATCATTGAATACTTCCGACATTATGGCCTCCATACCTGAATACACACAGTTTACAACTGCTTCATGTGCAATAATACTTCGTGTACCTTCTTCAAACGCCATGTACAGTAGCTAGATTCAGGAACAATCGAATTCTCAAAAAAGAAAGCTATTCGTGTTAACCACACTAAATAAAATTTAACACTTCAAACAATGTCGTTACCAATAAATGTTGCCAACATTAAATTAATGACTGTCATAATTAAATGAGGGCAAAAAGTTAAAATATGAGAAATCCTGAAAACCTACCAACCAGAGCTAAAATAACGGTGAGAAGTGGTGCAGCCGGAAAAACCAATGCTTGATTGAGCTCAAACATTTGTAGTAAGTCAACAATAAATAAGAATATTTGATGATGCGAAAAACGCAGCAACATCGATATCGCAAACGTCTGCAAGCGCTCCAATTCAAAGCTTGCATATCTTTAATTGCAAAAATGCATTTCTCCAAGAATGCATGCAAAATATAGAACTATTACACATCCTTATCAGGCTTGAATTTGACATTAAAATGGAATTTTCATCTATCCGACCTTTTCAGTTGTATCCAAATCCGATAATAGTCATTACTAGAAGTTATTATTTTTATCTTCATTCAATTTTTAAACAATTTAAACACCAAATTTGTTTAATCATTAAGTGTGTTATGCTTTCTGCAACGACATGTCTACATGTTGGAGTTCTTCACAGTGTGTTTCTTGAAGATATGCCACGTTCTTAATCACCAAATCATTCGGTTTAATCTGCTTAGTAATAAGATTACTGCTGATCACCTACAAGTTAAAAAATGTCTCAACAATTATTTGTTGCAACCGTTCACTTGTAAGATATGTACTTAACTGCAAAAAACTTGATGCTGAAGTCGAAAGAGAAAAAGATGCACTTACAAAAATTAGCATAACAATTAAAGCAGTGAAATAACTTGCTCTTGGATTACCCATAGTGACGAATCGGTAATGCTCGCCGGTGATCATATCCCGTAAATATCCTAAATCCAAAAATCAACGTACTCTTTATAAAAATTGCTCATTATCGGTATGTATAAATGAAAAAACGTAATGAACACTATGAGCAATATGCTACCACAAAAAAGAAAACAGAAACTATTTCAATTACCTTTGTCAGTTTCATTTTCAGCCAAAGCTTTTACTGAAGACATTAACACATCTTCATAACCAATAAAATTCTTCATCAATGCACGACTAACCCAATCACCAAAACAACTATCAACTTCAGGATCTAACTGAAAATTATCAGTAAAATCAGTTAATAATCCAAAACACTGTTCAAACAAATGGATCTATAACGTAATGAAGTTTGAATACTGTAGTTGATTTAAATGCCTTTCTGAAATTCTACATGATTTAGTTTGGAAATCTTACAGATCTCAAAAATGCAATATCGAGAAAAAGTCAAAGAACGGTGATTCGTAAGTCCCAGAAATTTAAAGATGATTAATTACACCATTATAAGGATTTTCGGAAATCAATTTGATAACTAAAAAGCTTAGCCGCAATGCTAACTTTAGAACAAACTACATTTTACATCGGAAATTTCAGAAAATTTCAATATTATACATTTTAGCAAAATAAAAGAAAAATACCCTAACAAGGAGAAATGATATGTTGTGTTCAAGACGATACGAATGGGGTAATTTTAGCAAACCATAATACAAAGAATATTCTACAACATACTCGAAACTTGCGTCCGAATCATCTGAAATATACGCTTAAATAATCTGCAACTTCATTAACTATTAATTCCATGAGTTTTTTACAAGATTCAATCAAAACATTTCTTTGTACAGTGCTAGTAACAGACAAAAACAATGTAATGGAATGTGTGGCGCACGTTCTAAACAACATGAATAAATTGTGATCGTCTGCCAAATGCTTCCAGAAAAGTTTGTACAATATAATTTCGTATCAATCTACAAAAATAAGTGTAAATCTGCTGCTATATTCTATAGTACTAATACTACAATATAAAGAAGCGAAGGCTGTGACCAATGAGATTGCAACTGCAAATATTCACTATTCTCTCAGTATATCTGAGATGACACTATCGGTGAAATAACATATTATCTTCTACATTCCCATTGTAAACTTAATAAATCTCGATTTCCACTAACTTCCATCAATCAACTTTCCAGCAAACATCTAGAGAACAGATTAACGCCTATAGACTGTTGGCTCCTCTAGAAAGTCTCTAGAAATTTTGATTTAAATGATTTAAGATCATATCACTAATGCACCAGATTTTTGGGCATAATATTATTAGCCAAAATGTATAAGAATACCAGAAAAAGAAAAACATAACCATGAAGAATTTGGCATATTAATACTGCTCGATATAAATTTGGTATACTAATAGAAATAATCCAGTGGTACTCTAGCAAATAAAAAAGAATGCAGAAAATCAAGCACAGTTTTAATAAAAACATACCAAATAAATCCTCTGACTCAAAGTCAAACTCATCGTCGTCTAACTCCTCTAAAAAAAGCTTCTTTTTCAAACCATTATCTGATCTTATAAAAAGATTCAATAATGAGTCTTCTGAAGTTAAAAAGCTGCTCCAATGGTCGCTCTTTTTCCTGAAACCATTATACAGAGAATTCTGAAAGCATTATTTGCATTACCGATGGTACTGAAAAATAAAATATACATAAATTAATTTTTAATTTTTGTTACTTTTTGAACACAACAAAACAAACCGAAAGTGATGCCTGGGTCTACTTCGTAATTCTTTCGGCAAAGCGCTAGGGCCCTTCATTAATACACGCTTCAAATCATAAACAGTTGTATTACTTTCACTATTTTGTTTCCCATAAGATTTTTCTGAAATTAGCGATTCAATCTGTTTAGTTTTACGATTTACTGAATGAATTATGTCTCAAAATCCTTCAAAATTCTTCGAAAACAAAAAGAAACAAAGTAAAAAAAAAAAAAAAAACAACAACAACAACAAAATAAATTGGGACAAAGGAAGAGATTTTGAGGAACGTAGTCATCACAAAAGAATTCAGGCCAGCAAAGTTAACAGGACTAGGTCAACAAGTTCAGTCAAAGGAAATATCCAGGATTTAGTGAGAATATTTTAAAAAAATCTATTTCATGGGAAACACCTAGAAACAATAAATATACAATCTTACCTAGTAATCTATCTTGATAAGCATTAAATTTCTTCAAATTTCTGACAACTTCTACGCGTAAAACACCATTTCTGGGCCACTGATCTACGAATGGTGCTAAACAGTTGCTGTCTGCTTCATCAAAAAAATGATGTACATAAATCATTATAGACAGCAACACTATTGCCTGAAAAGTAATATTTTTGGAATTTTTCTTTTTAGTTTTCTTTTTAGATTTTGCGACTTACTTTTATCAGTTTGTTTTCTAATAACTTCATTTGTGCATGACTATAGTAAGGTAATTCATTCAAAACAACCGTCATTAACTACATTTCAAACATTGTATAAATTCAGTCAGTAAGTGAACATTAGTGCATATTTATTCCTCTACATTGTTCGTTAATTTCAAAAAAAGCCAAAGTGAAGCGGAAATGAACATAGGCCAAAAAAACCAACAAAAAACATACTGTTACTAAAGATGAAAATTCAATGAAACGTTTGCCCAAAACAGGAACATGTCGATTATAACTAATTGCTACGCGTATAAGCATCGCATGAAACAACCTATCCCGTACCGCACCTGAACAGAAAGGAAATTTGACAACAACGTGAGCGTACAAAAAGAATCGCACACCTCCATTTAAATTTCTCAATTTCAACATGCTTTTTCATATCCCTTATCGGCTAAATGTCTTTTCCAAAGAGAACATATTTTCTTTTCTTGCTCCTTCAATGTAATTACTTAAGTATTTGTTTATCCTGAAACATGAACTGACTTACTAAAATATGAAAAAGCTAAACCTACCAAACTGATTTGGTTGTGGCAATACTTGTCGCTGTACAGCTTCAGCAGCTAATGCTTGAGTGTCCGGCGCTTCTCCTGCAAGCCTCGGTCGTTGCTGATTAATTGATCCAGGGCCAATTTCAGTATTGTTTACTGAGTTCATTTCAAGTCCATCAATTGACCGATCTTTTCTTCCCTTTAAAGAAGAATTAAGATGTAAACTTTTTTACTCAATGAATTCTTCACATAAACCCACTCTATCATGTTTTTAATCTATCATACCTGACAGCTCGTTTTATATCTCACTTAGATAGCTTATCACTTATATATGCTATTACTTACACTCCTCAATGTCTTTCCCACCAATTTATAACATTCATTCATTCAAGAAATACATCTATTTTCCTTGCATTTGCTCTCATTTTCGACTGTTATCAAACGCTTTTAAGCACAACGAAGATGCAACATTTAATTTACAAAAACATGATAACTATTTTTGAGGTAACTATTTCAACGCAACACATAAAAATGGTTATTTCCGGAACGATGCAGTCGACATGAGAAATAAATAAACTCCACACATGTGCATCCCGGGAAGACATCCAGAAAAATTCCGAAAAGCATTAGATAAAAAGGCCGAGTAATCATTTAGTAGCGATTATATTCACCCAGACTCTATTTCGTTACTTGGGGTGACAAATGGGATAAGTGAGTTGTTTTTGTTGCGTGGTTTTCTTCTTCTCCGAGGGGAAGTATCGTCACTGGAATCAGTGGGAAATACCGGGGTTCCTAAAGGATGAGTTTGGGATATTGTTCCACAATATCCTAAATCATCTACCTGACCTACTGTAGTAATACTGTCTCCTGATCTATCCTAGTAATGTCACTTGAATCAATAATTGATGTTACTAATATTTTAGAATTTTAAACGATCTGTTTTAAATGAAACACAATGCATTTAGTTCTATTAAACATGATTAAAACTGCTGCCTCGTTATCAGCTATAATGAAATAATTGTAGATTTTGTTGGCTATTTCACTATTGTACTATTTTTAGATTTTATTCGGTCTCGTACAAAGCCTTTTTGTAACGATATTTTGCAGTTTGATCAAATTTAGGAATTTTATTTGAATGCTTCGAGCTATGCTTAAATTCATTCATTTCAAGAAACTAAATAGTTAGGAGGAATGTCACAAATGCATTAAATATAGAACCCAACCCATATTCGTAGTATTATATTATTTCCCCAGAAGGATAATGGTTTGATTGTTCGGAAATATATTGAAAGTTCCGGAATCATTTATATGAATCTTACCGATTAGATTTGGATAATACTTTGATCGTTTATAATTAGTTTGCAGTGGTTAGACTATTAGTTGACACAATGCCATATCAAATCTTCTGTGATTCAAATGTGTCAGTAATGCGAGATAAATACTCACTGAAAATATTAATTACTGTCAAGAAGAATTAATGCTGATTATTAAATTATCCGCCCCCGATAAATTGCACAGAGATTTTTTGTCATAAGAATAAACAATAATGAATGAAGCATTTAATGGTATTAGAGCAAGTCAATAAAATTATAGAAAGAGTTTTTTCTATAATTTTATTGACTTGCTATAATGAAATTATAGAAAGAGAATAAACAATAATGAATGAAGCATTTAATGGCATTAGAGCAAGTCAATAAAATTATAGAAAAATATTTTAAAACTAATCTTCCAACTTTTCATATTGTATCTTTTGTTAGCATTCATTTTATATTCACTGTTGAAATAAATTAGTGATCAAAAAAGAAAAACAAAAAAGCGCTTGAAAATGTGATGGTTATTGATCAAAAAATAATATGAAAATTCTTCTTGAAAAATTTTGAATCTTTCTTGAATAAAAGCGATAACGCTAGTTTTCATAAAGGAAAATCCACCAAAATTACACGAGGAAACAATCTGGAAACAAATTCAAAATATACCAAGGAATCCTTGAACGAAAAATTTTTCTTCAAAAATTTTCTTTAAAATTGTCTATTACCAAAAGCAGTAAACAATAAACGAACATTATAAGGAAAGGGCACTGATACATGCTTTTTTGATCATTTTTAAAATCATTCTGGAATTATTCATGTTTCTAAGTGCAAACAAATTGTTCGAAATTTTTTTTTTTTTTAAATTTTCAACGTGAATTAGTATTTTTGTTGTGAAAACTGATATATGTGAAAAGAAATTTTGGTACGTTTGAAGAAGCGCATTCTGGAAATATCCATTATGCTTACTGATTGTTGCTACAAATCAAATAATGAGAATTAAGAAACAAAATGCTTTAAGTTAAATCAATTAAGTTCAATTCGGCTTGTTGCATGCACAAATGAGAATGAATAATGCTACTAACACAGTATACAATTGATAAAATAATGCATAAAAATAGATTGAAAATTGTATAATATTTGTTTTATTAACTATGAATAGAAGTAGAAGTAATATTCAAATGTATGCAAACACTGAATGCAGCAGATAAATGCATGCAAAGCAAGCGCAAAGGGATATGATGTTAGAATAAATTAAAATGTATAGAAATTATTTTTGTATAATTTGCATATTATTCATTGCTTTCAAAACAATTAATAATATGATTGATAATTTGATATTTTGCATGAAATTATTTGATGTAATAGCAAAGCAATTAATGTAAGATTGATTGATTGATTAATTAACTGACTGATTGCTGGATATTGTTAGTAAACTATTAAATTGATTGTACAAAACGTTATTGTATTATTGGTTGAGATTAATTAATAATTTTACCATTGATCTCCAAGTTAATATTATTAGCAATTTGCTTTACATATTCGAATTTAAAGATCATCGCAAATTTTCTTAAGTTGTGATAAAGTTAAAATCAGAAAATCACATCTGTTTGCAATTATTTGCATTAATAGTGAAAAAATTGTCATTTTTAGGAATTTTAATTTAATTTTTTTTTAATTTGTATTATAAAGGTTGATATTGATCCATTTGAAATGTTTATTGAATAGATTTCAATTGTAAAGCATTACTTTGAAAATGTTGACATATTAAAAATGTTACTCTAACGATAGTTTCAACAAATGCCATAACTATGTGTGTCATAATTATTTTAAAAATCTTGAAAAGATACATGACAGCATTCATTCTTTTTTTTTTTGAATTGAAATATCATTCAGTGCTGAAATTTCACTATTACTTTTCTTTATAATTATGAAACAGAAATTTTTGTCTTACAATGTTAAATGGTGTTAAATTTCTGAATAAAAAACAGTTAAATGAAATTTCCTGAATAAATCTTGCCAGAAGATACTTTATAATAAGAAAATTTCATTATATATTTGACGTATTAGTCTAAAGTAGAATTAAATTGCCGTAACATTGAGGAAAAAGAACTAAGTTTTCCTAAACTTCTGAAAATGCACCATAAAAGCATAAACTGATTGTTGCTGATGGAACATCAAACAAAAAATGGTATTATATTATTAAAAAATAAAACAACTAAAAAATGATTAAAATAAGTTACCATTAAATACCTTTAAAAAGTTACCTTTTTTTAAAAGTATTTTTACTTTTAAAAAGTTGTCTTCAAAAAAAAGTTATCTTCAAAATTCACTTTTGCTATAGAAATCAATGAAGATTTCAAAATTCAATAATAATTTAACAATCAAGGAATGATTTATAAGAATATGAATGCTAATAGTTTATTTTTCGTTTTTCTTGCTTTTCATCTTTCCAATTTTTTCTTTATTTCTTGAATGATGAATTTTCAGAATTTGTTTTTCAAAATATTTGGTGGACCTTAAAAAAATAAGAGATCGAATTATGTATAAAATGATTATGCTCGATGAATATAATAAAATTTAACTATCTCAGATAAGGTTACTTAATAATTTTGAAAGATTCTCTTGATTTCGTAAATATTTTAATTTTTTAAGTATTTGATAACATTTTCTCTAAACTTATTATACGAGGAGAGATAAATGGCCATCCATTCTATCCTGTGTAACGACCATTCATTCGTTTACACTCTTCCATGACCTTAAATCAATTTCTGAAGTAATGAAAACTACCTGAAAACACTGGTCGTTTTAAAATCATTAAGTAATTCAATTAGCTGATTAAGAAAATCATTAAGAATTATTATTTGTTCCAAGAAAGGCCTGTGTAATTAAAATGATCTCAAAATAGAAAATTTTTGCATAAATTTTCAAAAAATGCTACGTAAATTTTGATACATCTGAGTTGATACTGATATATTAGAAATTAATTTTGATATTTTCATTTTCAATTTTCATTTTTAGCCATGGTATATTTGCTTTCGAGTTTTCAGTCTAATTCATTACCTGAGAAGTTGATAGAATTAACAAAAGATTTATTCCATGAATCTAGGTTAACAAAAAGTTACATTTATAATATTATATTAACAGATGAATAAGATCAGAAAGATAATATGAAGAATTTGAATAAAGAGAAGAAAAGACGAATGTAAAAGAGTAATAGCTGAATTAGCTAGTTATTATAAATCCATGAAAGAAATGATCTCAACTAATTATTGCCCTTTGACCTGAAGTAATGATATGAAAATAGCTATGCAAAAAGTTACATTACATAAACACAATTGCACTATGCATTCAAACAAATCGGTACAATTGTCCATTTTCTCTTTTTTTGTTCCATACGGATTATTTCGTTGAATATTTTCATCTTCCAATAAATTCAATTTATTATAAGAAAAAGAAAAAAATTGTTTTTTAGTATTAAGGAAAAAAATTTCCATTTATTTTTGTAGGTGAAAGAAAGCAATACAAATGCTATGGATTGCAATTCATATTCCGAATTAATGCATTTATGGGGTATCGATCGTATAGATTCTAAGCGTGGCTTCTCATGGAAAGTTATATTCGACCGATTTTTTTCCAAATTTCATTACGATAAGTTAGTAGTTAATAGTTTAATCAGTCGCTTTAATCAATGAGTGAATTTTGTAAGGTTATCTTATTTTGTTCTTTTTTGATACATAAGTTTCTTTTTTTAATTTATTATTTCTTTTAAATTTTGTTTTTTCCTAACAAAGTTAGTTACAATTTGCAATCATCGTTATGTCTATGATTTATTACAAGATTCTTTGAGCAATCTCGAAATTTCTAAAAACCGAATGCTGAAAATAGTCAAATTATTTACTCAAAAAATAAAGCCTAATGATGCACTGATTTTATTTCATTTGACAATTTCAATATTATGTTTTGTCCAAGATGAATCAATGCTAGTCCTGAAGTGTTTTTTTTTAATTGCGCATTAGTTAGTTTATTCGCTAGAGCTCTCATCCTATTTAATTAACTAGATTAATTATCGGTCAGTGATTCGCAACTTTAAGAAGGTAGTAGGATTGAGAGTTCAACTGATCCGACCGGAACTCTCATCCTATTTAATTAGTAATTTACAGATTTGCATCAGATGTAAGTGCTGATGAAATGGCACACACGGTGGAATTGGCTGAAAGAATGGCTAATTTTGTATTGGAAGATGAATGCAAGAAAGAATGCAATGATCATGAATGCGAGTTACAAAATTGATGTCAAAACTACAGATCTGATCAGGAATTAGGAAATTTAAATGTTATCGTATGCTGTTGAATGTATTTTTGCGCCTCAACCATCTAGCTCATAACTCACTGTTTGTCATATTTAACGAAATGCTTCAAATTAGCTTGTTTTAGAAATAAGTTTCTTCTCTACCCATAATCTCATAAACCAGTTACCAATGATGCATCTACATTAAATTAAAGTTTGATTCATATTTGAAGCGAAAAAAAAGAAATAACGAAGACAATTCTTTACTACCCTATTTCAGTAATCTCTGTAAAAATTTTGATGATTTATATAGAAATATGATAACTTTTATTACTTTGATTACTTTTTTTCAAGCTTTCAATTCGCAAAATTGTTTGGATTACAGAAAGTTAAGTCTATTTTGCTTCGCCTATTGTAAATGGATATTTCGTGTTTTTGCATTTTTATATCATTAAATTTATCACTAATCACATCAGAGATATTCGTCTTTCCTTTTTTTATCCTCTCATCCATTTGAACCAAAGTAGTACGTATCATTGAAAATCTTTATCAATGCAAACATTATTTGACTGCCGTATTTTCAGGTGTAAATTCCTGTTGTTGTAGTTAAAAATTCATGAAAATATCTGTTAATTTTTGCTAAAAATAAGTTCTATTATCATTCTAAATTGCTTGATAGTAGCAGTTTGATTGTTTAGTTTAAGAATGAACTAAATTATTTCAAAGGAACTAAATTGCAAACTAAATCGATGATCTAAAAGAAACAAAAATAGCACCAATTACCTCAATTTCATTTATGAAAATTTCGTATTGTAAATAGTAAATTAATTTCATTTTCAATATGTCATTATGTTTCATTTTTCATTCAATTACACTTCTATCATTAATACCGTTTACCGAGATATCATACATTGGAATTTCCTTTTGATCTTAATTTGGTACTGCTCATTTTCAGTTCTTTGGTATTATTTTATTTAGTTTATTTATTTATATAATATATGATTTATAAAATTAGCGGTACCAAAAATATTCCGAGAATATCGCAGAGTTGATAAAAAATCTCTTCAAATAAAAAAAAAATATATTACTTGGTATGATATCGAATTAAAAATGATGGCTTAATGATTGCATTAAATTCTTATCATTACTAATAAAACCCATCTTACAATTGGAATTAAAATTTCGATCTCTCTTGTAACTTTTAACATTTCAACGTTTTCTTCCAGCATTAATCACTAATAAACTAAAATGAAGCATATCGTCATGTTGGCATATAGTTTTAATTTTGAAAAATCCCATATTTAATTGTTTGCAATTGATTCTGTGAAAGCAGTTAATTGTTAAATGAAATTGTAGTGAAATTTTTCTATCATATAAAACGATTTCTATCACTCAAAGTATAACTAAAATATTATTATCAAAAATTATAATTTCTTTCTTTCTTAAGTAGAATAGTTTGCTGGATGGATAAGTAGTTCTTCTGGAAAAAACAAAGAATGAGTCTGATTTGAGAGGCAGAAAGGAATGTATGATTTGTTTTTTTTTTTTTTTTTTTTTTTTGAGTTCATTAAATTGTCAAATAAACGAGGAATTCATTCATCAATGTAGCTGTAAACTCAATCATTCCACTATATCATTTCATTCATTTTTTTTTTTTTTACTTTGTAGAAAAGATTCAACAAAACTTGTATATAGAGGAAGAAAAATGGCAAATGTTCATTTTTAAAATTGAAAAAATTAACTGTGTACCATTTTTACATTCTTCCTAAATTCATATTAACATGTTTTTCTAAATGGAATTTAATGGAATTCTATTCTTAAATATTGTTGTTATTGTTTTTCAACTTTTTTTTTTCACTCTAATATTTTAAGCTGAAATTGTTCAGTTGCTTGCAAAAAAAAAAAAAAAAAATCAATCATTGAAAAAACTATTTCAAGGAATATTGTACTAATTTACAGGTTTTGTATTTCAATTGTAAACAAATGTTTACTGAATTCGATCAGTTAAAATTTTAATCATCATATATTAATTAAAATATAAATGTTTAATTTTCTGGATTAAAAAACGAAACAGTGCAAATATGGTTTGACGGTAACAGGAACAGGAATGGAACTAACTAACTTTTTCCTTTTTTATTGTCACACCTACCCGCCGATTCTCTTTCTTTCTTTCTTTCTCTTCATTCCTGTCACTTAACATTCATCAATTGAAATGAATCATAATGAAATGTTGAAAGATGGATGACAACAAATTTAGCCTTAAAAAATAGCTAAGACATTAATTTTTAATGGAAGAAACGAGAAAAGCAAATGGAAAAGAAGTGTAAAAAAGAAAAAAAAAGAAAGAATTCATTCCTTTCAAATGCAAACAATTTTTATCAAAAGAAAAAAGAAAAGAATAGAATTCATTTAAATATTTCAGTGAAATACACAATAATTCATCCTTTCTACCTATCTGAACTGAACGCTTGTCCTTACGTACGTACGTGTTTTGTCTGTCCCTTCATTATATTATTGCCTTGTTGTGACACATACAAGTAATGTCTGACGGTATTTTTTGTCATATTATGTATTTGTCAAAAGTTGTAAAAGATAAAAAGTAGCAAAAGAAACATAGAGATTTTCGGTAAAATTGAAATTAGAAATACTGCTGAAATGAGCATAAAATCCGGTTTTTAGCAATCATTATTAGTTAATGAGAAATTTGTCATGAAACGCCCACGCATACAATGACATTATTGTCATTGCTGTTATGTTACATATTGAATGATCATGACTATTATAGTAATAGTGATAATGATATGGTGATAAGAAGGAGGAGATGAGATATATTCTGATTGTTGCAGTGGAATGCATTGCATTACGATACATGCATGAAGTGCAAATGCAAATGCAGTTGCAGCGGGCGATGCGATGCACACGACGATAACATTTCTCATTCCAGAGATACTCACTCACTCTCTTGCCTTGGTAACTTAATGAGCGACATTTGACAGAGGAGGGTAACTCGTCTCACCTTAGCGATCGCTTTCCTGGGAGGCAGGTGCTGCGGGCACAAAGCATATAAAATGACTCTTTGCGCCGTTCAAAACGGTATACCATTTTCGGGATGACGAAGTACTACGGCAGTAACGACATTTGACCCTATGCTATCACTGATTATCAAGCTTCCTCCCTTACTATTAAATGTTGTAGAATTTCTCATGAAAATTTCACTTTCAATTTTTGCTTTTAATTCTGTAATAAAATTAATATTTTTTGTTTGGCTGAAAAAATGACAGTTACATTTTCATTCTTGAATATCTACTCTTGTTTTATCAAAAATTAATTTTATCCAAGATTTTCTACTTCTTCAATTACATATTTCTTCCACTTATTCATTTAATGAGACAATCTTAGCTCTAATAATGCCCACATTATAGGCCCCGTTACTTCCCGAAATCTCCCATTATTTTGTTTTTTTTTTTTTTTTTTCCCAGTGCAATATAAGTAATAAAAGAATCACAAATTGTAGATAATGAATTAATGGTATGAAAAACTGAATTTTGATAATTTCTTTTCAAATACTTTCATTATAACAATGTTTATGCCTCGCTGGTGCAAACATTTTCATAAAATTTTCCTCATTTTGTTATTTCAATCATTTCTTATTTTATTATTACTTTCAGTTATTCTGAAAATCTTATTAGCATTGTAAACAAATATCCAAAAAAAAGAAATTTGAGTCCATTCACTTTATGTATAAACTTTCATTAATAAACCAAACAATTGCATTTTTATAATATTTATTGGCAAAGTTTTAGCATTTTACCACAACAAAATTAATTTTAATGATATCAGTGTTAATACGATGTTAGTTTCATGATAATGTCATCTATCAATTATCAAATTTATCCAAAGAATATAATTCATACTAATGCCATACAAATGGAATGTTGAAAATCGGTACCATTTGGTAGTCATCTAAAAATTTTCTAGAAACTTTAAAATTTTGAGAAACCAAATATTTTCAATCAGTTAAAAAGTTTGGAACAAAAGTCAATGAGAGTAGTTTGAGTTCACAGATTGTCTTTTTTGGCAATTTTGAATGCGTCAATTTTTCCATATGCTATTTCTTAATTTGATTCTGCTGTATGCTATCAAATGAAGAAACTGCTAATATATGGGATGATAATCTTTGGTGTGTTAGCAACGTGCTGCATTTATCACTGCTGCTAAAAGTGCAAGTTGCAGGTAGCAAGATGGTTGATTCTGATGATCCGAAACAGCTTCTCATTGAGGCAGAAAGCATGAAAAAGCTTGCCTTTTGCGGTGTTGCTGTTTCTACCGTAGCTACTCTGGTAGCAATTATTTGCGTACCAATGCTCTGCACCTACATGCAAAATGTGCAGTCTAACTTGCAAGATGAGATTAGCTTCTGCAGGACACGCGCAATTGGATTACGAGGAGAATTCACCAAAGTACATTTTTCCCAAAATATAAATATGAATGTATTAGAAATTGCTCTCATAAAAGATGTTAAAGTTTAAAATTTTTTAGCTCGAATCATCGCGTTCAGCACTGAAAAAAGAAAGACAAAAGAGGCAGGCAGTATTCCAATGTTGCAGTTGCGGTATTGGTCCTGTTGGTCCACCAGGCCCACCTGGACAAGATGGTGACGATGGCCGAGATGGCCCACCTGGCAAGCCCGGGATGCCAGGTCAGGATGCTCAAGAAACCCAACTAGTAAGTTATTCAGCACAACGATTCATTTTGAAACCACAATTTTTGCTTATATCATTTGATGTTCCTTACTAAGTTTTTGTATTTTGGTGTTTTTTTCTTTTTTAAATGTCAAAAACTCATTCTAAAATTAAAAACCTAATTTCTATTGGTCATATAAAACTATAATTTTACGGATAATCTGAATTTTCAGCCAACTGAACGAGACTGGTGTTTCAATTGTCCTGCAGGACCACCAGGTCCACGAGGTAAACCAGGACCAAAAGGACAGAGAGGATTGCCGGGAGACAAAGGTTCTAGCGGACAGCCTGGTGAACCGGGTCCTGTGGGACCACAAGGGCCAAGAGGACCGAATGGACCTCGAGGAAATCCAGGCCCAGCTGGCGAACCAGGAAAACCGGGTGTACAGACTGAGGTTTGTTTTGTTATCCTTTCCAGTATTGAAAAATCATGAAGATGTTGGATTTGAATTGTTTCCAATAACCCTTAAAATTTCAGGTGCCTGGACCACCAGGACCACCTGGCCCACCAGGACCACAAGGACCACCAGGTGAGCAAGGTCCAGCTGGGCGAGATGGCAATCCCGGACGACCAGGACCACGTGGACCACCAGGTCAGAACGGCAAAGATGGTCCTCCAGGACATGATGGTCCAAATGGTGATCAAGGAGAAGCAGGTCCCGATGGACCAAAAGGCAGTTGTGACCATTGTCCACCTCCCAGAACAGCTCCAGGCTATTAAACAATTTCAAGGGATTATCCAGGAGAGTGATCTAAACCTGTCACTCATGCTATTAGTATCCATCTTTCAGTCTATCTCTCCATTTCCATTATTCTCCCATTTATAAATCACATCAAAATTTTCAATCTTTACATTTTCATTTGTTCAATTTAGATAACAACGACAAATTGAACATATATTTTAATGAGAAAATATATGAATTGAAATAATGCAATGAAGTGAGAAAATAAATATTTTAGCGAGAATATTTATTGCTTTCTATCATCGATTATGATATAATATTGAAAGACAGAAAATATTGATTGGCTGGAAAGTAAACAATTTCAAATATGCCATCATCGGTTCAGTTTCGAATATGCTATTAACGGTTGTGTAACTATTTGGAAGATTAATGGTAGTTCATTTTTCTCAATTTCACATTTCAGACGCTGCAAATTGTAAACACAAAAGTGATACTATTTCCATTGATGCAACAAAAAAGAAATAAATTAATTAAATATTTGGTGCATTGAGTTAAATATTTGTGTGACAATGGCGCCTATTTGCCGTCACTGATATATAAATTCTTTCTTTGATCATAACAAATCAAAATGAGTGATTCCATCATCTGTCGCCCATTTTTTGTCCCTTTTAATTTTCAATCATTACATATTAAAATTCACTCTTTGATGAGAAAAAAATGGGTGGAAAATGTAATTTGTTCCTTTAGTAAACTTTTACTGTAAATAAGAGAAAAAAAATGTGCAAAAGTTTCATCGAAATGCTATTACTAAAGAATCTTTTTTTTACATCAAAAGTTTGAGAGAAATTTGCTTATAACATCATTTATTATAGCTAATTTATGCATTCATAAATTTTAATTAACAAAAATTTCAGACAAATTTTTTTTTGCACGAAAATTTGAGTGTAATTGTTCGTCTGTGAAACTATTAAAATAGTTATTGATATGGTATCAGCAAGTGTTTAATAAATTCTTGAAGGTGAAGATAGAGGACTGAAAGTGAAAGAGACCAATTGGATAGTTCCAATAATTAATTGATTGCAGAGCATAAAAATAAAAAAGTTTCGTTTTATTTAATCAAATTATGAACTGATATTGCAGTTACAACTTATATTTGCAACTAACACTACTGCAGTTATGTTTATCACATACTTGGTTTAATTTTGTCACTCGTTTTCAAAGCAAATTAGGTTATTAGAGAAAGTTTATGATCCCCAACAACTGGGCCAATTTAATTATCATCATTACTGTTAAAATGATACACGGACAACAGATTTCCATGTGTCTTTATGTTTAGATTAGTTAATAATTATTAATTTCTAATGTTAAGATAATAATATAAATATCAAAATAATTTCATAACTGCAAATAAATTATAAGATTTCTCGTTGAAAGTTGTTTTCAATAAACAGCTTACATATGAACAACTTTTATTTACGGCTTACTCTCATCAAATAAACAATTTCACACAAATATTTCCTTCCTTCAATTTCAGCATATGTTTGGGTTAAGAAACTAGTTTTTAGTTTGTTGTTTTCTACGGTGAAATTTAAAACTTAAGAATTTTCCATAGACAACTCTAAAGGATTTGTTATGAATGGAAATATCTCAAACCATCATGAAACAAGCACGAAAAAAATACACATCTGTAATATATCCTGAGAAGAGTAGGGAAGTAAGAAAAATAGAATGAAATCAATAATTATGATAATCGACAGATAAAATAGATTAATGATGAGTGGAGAGGTCAACGCAGTTAGATATATTTTATCAGTGATTATTTAACCTTACGTTCTTATACTAATGAACTGCTTAAATAGTTGCAGCAAATGTCGCATTACTCTTATCCTACAAGATGAAAATCTAAGTATGATTAGTAACAATAGGGCATAAGTTCAAAGTATAAATTCACCAATGTTAAAGATTTTTTCATTATTCTTTAAATAACGTATAGAAAAAATTATAAACCGTAAATATAACCAATGACATTACTGTGTCATTGGTTATTTTTTTTTTTTTTTTTTCAGCAATGAAAATTAAAAGCTTAAATTGATGAAATGTGAAGCATAAAACAGAGCAAAAGAAAGATAAAAAATTGAATTTTTTCATCATGAATTCAAGTTGCTAGAATAAGTATCCTTAGTAACAATAAATGTACAAAGAAAACAAAATTATTTTTTTTCTTAGTGTATCAATAAGGTATTTAATTAGTTAATAGTAGAAAAGTAGCTAATATAGCAATACAATACTTCCGAAAAAACAATGAAAATATAATTTGCCATAAAGCATAGCAAAGCCTAGCAAAAACAGCAAAAAATAAACCAATTTTTTTCTTTTTTTTAAAATAATTTGAAGATATAGGTGCATTAAGTATTGATTACTACAAGTAAAAGAGAAAAACGTTTTTTCAGACAAATTAACACCATCAAATCTATCCATTTTCTCCGTAAAATAATTCATATCAACATTCTTTTAAATTATCGAGAATTCAAATGACTAGATAATGGAGAAATTGATATACTGCTTCTGATCTCAAGTACATTATAAAAGGATTCTATAACAATACTAATTTAAACTTATGTTTTAATAGGTGAAAACTTTCAACATTATTTGCTTCGTTTTTCATGTCTCATCATTAACCCATATAGGAATACAACTAATCAAACTAACTGAGCCACCGATGTAACTTATAGGACAACGTATATTAGAGTCACATAAATGTCACTAGAACGCTGCTTATATAAAGTTCTTTAAGAATATTTCAAAACTATGCAGTTATAAGATGTAGCAATTTTAGGTTGTACTAAAGATAATGTATGGTGTTATCCCACATAAAAATGAATCTATGATGCGACCAAAATAACGGAAGTAAATCAATAATTTAAGTAGCTTAAATAGATGCTTGTGGAAGAAAAGTTTCTTTTATTATCGAGCACTTTGAACATTTAATTTGAAATATGTAAGTACAAATATAATTATTAATCAAAACAAAGTGAATTAACAATAATATCTAGACAGGAAAATGCGAGATCAACATCGATAAAGTTTGAAAGACTGGAAATAATAACATCGCAGATTTAGGAAATACCAAAAAAAAGATACCGTGAAAGTTTAATTTAAATGAAATAAGGGAATTCGCTTCTCAAATTTTGAATAATTTCAAAAATTCCAATTGTGAAAAACAAAAGTTAGAGATTTGGTTGAATAACATCAAAGTAATACCTATAAACTATTCTAGCAACTGAATTCATATTGTTAACAACGAAGACTAAAAGACATTTAATACTTTAATCAACTTGAAATCTTAAATGATTTGTTAGCTGTTATTAGAAGAAAGAGGTCGAATACACATTAAACTAATATAACATATATAATAAGAGAATTATATCTATACAGAAATAAAAAAGAAAAATAAATGCTTCCAGAACATAGCATCTAATGAAAAATTTTCATAAGAAAACAAGAGAAGCATGAGGAATATAATGAAATAATGAAGCCCATCCACATTTCATGAAACATGCAAAGTCAGCATTAAGGAAACATCCAAATGCACATCGCTCCACTCGTTCAGTCCAATGACATGGCAACAGAATGCGTACAACTTTGATATCTATGTTGATGATTAGCAGCAATTAATGTAATTTGAAATATTAATTTATTCAATTTCTTACGTTTATAACTATTTTAACAAGTAAAAGCATTTTTCAAGGGAAAGCATTTTGGAAACAATATAGTATATGCTTCTCTCTTTTGATTCAGTTCATTTTCCATGTCAGTAAAACACAAATCACAACAAAATATGGTCCGATCATTAGTGAGAAAAAATAATATTCAAAATGAATGCAATATGAGTGAAAGCTATTAATTTTTAGGTTCTAAAAAATTCCTATTAATTCAACTAAACTTACTTGATGCTAACGAAAGATATTTCAAGAATTCATCCTTATAAAGGACATGTGAAGATATTATTTCAACCTGTTGTAAGTGATAATATTTCTTATTAATAGGCGGAAACGATGGTGCAATAATTCCGATATCATAGCATATGATCAAATTCTTTCATTCCACAAAAAAGATTGAAAGAGGCTGTCATCCAATCTTCCTTTCATAAAATACTTCGTCTAGACAAGCAAATGAAGAAGCACAATGTTTAAATTAATTTCGGCTTCATATATTTTAATATTTTCTGGTTAAAAATTATTTTATGAGATGAACATGACATTATGGAAAATGATATAATACTAAAACTAAATCCTAAACTAACATTTCGATGAAAACATATCAAGTAAGTCAATTAAAACCACAAATTAAGAAAAAGCAAGAAAAAATTGGTCCGCTTAGTATCGTAATAATATAATATTGTAGCAGATATACAGCTATTCTTACTTCGTATTCATTATACATATATAGAAAACGCTGTCTCTTCTTCATTACCATCATATAGCGAGACATCTTCAATTCATCAACCAACCGTAATGTATGAAGCGATATACCCAACTCTAGTACTGTCCTTACGTATGCAATGAAGTAACCCGATACGATGATAGGCCTGAACCATCCTTGTGATCGTTTCGTTTTATCTTTGAGGCATAAAGACCATGCTCCTGTCGTGAAACCTCAAACTTGGGTAATTAAACCTTTATTTAACATGAAGCAAATAATAGCGCTTTATACATATCGTACGGATGCTACACCGATTAACAAACGCGTAACGAAAGATATAATTATAAAACATTAAAATGGTATCAAAACCACCCCAAAATGCAGAATGAACCACCGTATGGAGGACGATGGTTTATATGCATGACTGAGCTGACCAGATATCCGGCAGAGGATATTTAACTGATGTGAAACAAAGACTGCTAATAAAGGGTTTTGCTAACAAAGGGTTTACTAACAAAGGGTTTGTTGTGTGAGGAAAAGGAATAGATAAGAGGAATTTGTTAGTTTTGGATATAATAATTGAAATATTTCGTCTTTCACGACACTCCCGACCAGAAAAGGTGGGTAATGCGTGGTGTTCATAAGAAAGTGGGGGTTGTTTACTTCCATTGATCTGTTTTTGATCGTGTAAACTCTACAGGTTTCTGATGATGGTGCGGTGATAGTTGTTTGGTCCTCCTTTAATCGAGATTGTCGTTTTGTATTGCTCCTAGTTCGCATCGCAATAGGTTCCTGGAGCTCCTCAGTGTTCTGTTCGGTTTCCGGAAATTTCATATTTTCTTTCTTATTAGGTTCAAGATGAATTTCTTCATCATTAACTTCGAGAGGATATAAGACATTTATTGGACGATCGAGAAGTTTCCCAGTGGGAGTTTCCACCTGAACGTTCCTAACTTTACCGTCTTTATCGATTTTGATGTCCTTGATCCGTAATAATTTCCACATTCCTCTTGGAATTCCCGATTCATTTAAGAGTACAATCTCTCCCTTTCTTGGAGTTCTTTTTTGTGCTCCTTTGGATGAGGTAATTTCCCTTTGCGTGCGTTCTCTGAGGCTAGTTAAATATTCGGTTCTCCAGATTTCCCAAAAAACATTGAGAGTTTTAAGGGTACTTTCCCAGTGTCTCACGAGTTTTTCTCTGGTATCTAGTCTATAAGGGGTGAATTCTTCCTGCTTGCTATAAACTTCATTTATAGTAGATGGAGCGAAGCGTTAGGCAAAATAAAATCAATTGGACGTATAATGACGCAATCGTCAAAATTGGCGTAAGTTAGTGGTCGGGTATTAAGTATACCTTCAACTTCTGCAATTAATGTTACCAATTCCCTTTCCGCTAGGAATTTTCTGCCAATGGCTCTTCTTAGCGCATTTTTCGTTAACCCAATTAATCTCTCGTAGATTCCACCTTGCCACGGAGCCTTTGGTATAATATTTTTCCAAGTCATTCCTCCCTTTGCTAAGAAGTTGGAGACTTTGACTTGTGTCATAAGAGATCTGAAAGCCTGGAATTGAGTGGCATTGTCACTCAGAATTAGCTCAGGACACCCTCGTCTCGCAACAAATCTTCGGATAGCATGCAAAAAGGTTTCTGCGGATTGGTCTTCTGCTAATTCGAGATGTATGGCTCTTGTTGTAAAGCATGTAAATAATATTACCCACCTTTTTGTTGACACGCTATTGCCCTTGATTAAAAGAGGGCCAAAATAATCCACGCCAACATGTGCGAAGGCTCTAGATCGATTGACACGAGTTTCCGGGAGACTTGCCATTGGTGGTAATTTAAACGATCTGGAGTTCCAACGTTTACAGATTCGACATCTGTTTATTATTCGCTTTACTTCAGTCCTGCCTTTGGGAATCCAAAATCTACTCCTTAATTCTGAAACTGTATGGGCGATACCTGAATGACATAGATTTTCATGTTGGGGCTAGTTGAATGTGTTCCAACCATTTGTCGTTGATCTTCTCAAGAGTGTCAACGTATTTTTCGAGGCGCATCAACTTTTCTTTGATGATCCTTGCCCTTGCTTCATATTGCTGGCACAATACTTCTACTGTCGCTTTTTGGTCTAACGGAGTTAGATCCATTTGTTGTATTTCATCGAGGAGTCCCTCGAGATTCGCTTTTACTGGTGTAGCTTGAACAATTATACTGGCCGACATACCTCACCTCGGGCACCAAAAATTATTCTTTGTCGTGAAACCTCAAACTTGGGTAATTAAACCTTTATTTAACATGAAGCAAATAATAGCGCTTTATACATATCGTACGGATGCTACACCGATTAACAAACGCGTAACGAAAGATATAATTATAAAACATTAAAATGGTATCAAAACCACCCCAAAATGCAGAATGAACCACCGTATGGAGGACGATGGTTTATATGCATGACTGAGCTGACCAGATATCCGGCAGAGGATATTTAACTGATGTGAAACAAAGACTGCTAATAAAGGGTTTTGCTAACAAAGGGTTTACTAACAAAGGGTTTGTTGTGTGAGGAAAAGGAATAGATAAGAGGAATTTGTTAGTTTTGGATATAATAATTGAAATATTTCGTCTTTCACGACACTCCCGACCAGAAAAGGTGGGTAATGCGTGGTGTTCATAAGAAAGTGGGGGTTGTTTACTTCCATTGATCTGTTTTTGATCGTGTAAACTCTACAGGTTTCTGATGATGGTGCGGTGATAGTTGTTTGGTCCTCCTTTAATCGAGATTGTCGTTTTGTATTGCTCCTAGTTCGCATCGCAATAGGTTCCTGGAGCTCCTCAGTGTTCTGTTCGGTTTCCGGAAATTTCATATTTTCTTTCTTATTAGGTTCAAGATGAATTTCTTCATCATTAACTTCGAGAGGATATAAGACATTTATTGGACGATCGAGAAGTTTCCCAGTGGGAGTTTCCACCTGAACGTTCCTAACTTTACCGTCTTTATCGATTTTGATGTCCTTGATCCGTAATAATTTCCACATTCCTCTTGGAATTCCCGATTCATTTAAGAGTACAATCTCTCCCTTTCTTGGAGTTCTTTTTTGTGCTCCTTTGGATGAGGTAATTTCCCTTTGCGTGCGTTCTCTGAGGCTAGTTAAATATTCGGTTCTCCAGATTTCCCAAAAAACATTGAGAGTTTTAAGGGTACTTTCCCAGTGTCTCACGAGTTTTTCTCTGGTATCTAGTCTATAAGGGGTGAATTCTTCCTGCTTGCTATAAACTTCATTTATAGTAGATGGAGCGAAGCGTTAGGCAAAATAAAATCAATTGGACGTATAATGACGCAATCGTCAAAATTGGCGTAAGTTAGTGGTCGGGTATTAAGTATACCTTCAACTTCTGCAATTAATGTTACCAATTCCCTTTCCGCTAGGAATTTTCTGCCAATGGCTCTTCTTAGCGCATTTTTCGTTAACCCAATTAATCTCTCGTAGATTCCACCTTGCCACGGAGCCTTTGGTATAATATTTTTCCAAGTCATTCCTCCCTTTGCTAAGAAGTTGGAGACTTTGACTTGTGTCATAAGAGATCTGAAAGCCTGGAATTGAGTGGCATTGTCACTCAGAATTAGCTCAGGACACCCTCGTCTCGCAACAAATCTTCGGATAGCATGCAAAAAGGTTTCTGCGGATTGGTCTTCTGCTAATTCGAGATGTATGGCTCTTGTTGTAAAGCATGTAAATAATATTACCCACCTTTTTGTTGACACGCTATTGCCCTTGATTAAAAGAGGGCCAAAATAATCCACGCCAACATGTGCGAAGGCTCTAGATCGATTGACACGAGTTTCCGGGAGACTTGCCATTGGTGGTAATTTAAACGATCTGGAGTTCCAACGTTTACAGATTCGACATCTGTTTATTATTCGCTTTACTTCAGTCCTGCCTTTGGGAATCCAAAATCTACTCCTTAATTCTGAAACTGTATGGGCGATACCTGAATGACATAGATTTTCATGTTGGGGCTAGTTGAATGTGTTCCAACCATTTGTCGTTGATCTTCTCAAGAGTGTCAACGTATTTTTCGAGGCGCATCAACTTTTCTTTGATGATCCTTGCCCTTGCTTCATATTGCTGGCACAATACTTCTACTGTCGCTTTTTGGTCTAACGGAGTTAGATCCATTTGTTGTATTTCATCGAGGAGTCCCTCGAGATTCGCTTTTACTGGTGTAGCTTGAACAATTATACTGGCCGACATACCTCACCTCGGGCACCAAAAATTATTCTTTGTCGTGAAACCTCAAACTTGGGTAATTAAACCTTTATTTAACATGAAGCAAATAATAGCGCTTTATACATATCGTACGGATGCTACACCGATTAACAAACGCGTAACGAAAGATATAATTATAAAACATTAAAATGGTATCAAAACCACCCCAAAATGCAGAATGAACCACCGTATGGAGGACGATGGTTTATATGCATGACTGAGCTGACCAGATATCCGGCAGAGGATATTTAACTGATGTGAAACAAAGACTGCTAATAAAGGGTTTTGCTAACAAAGGGTTTACTAACAAAGGGTTTGTTGTGTGAGGAAAAGGAATAGATAAGAGGAATTTGTTAGTTTTGGATATAATAATTGAAATATTTCGTCTTTCACGACACTCCCGACCAGAAAAGGTGGGTAATGCGTGGTGTTCATAAGAAAGTGGGGGTTGTTTACTTCCATTGATCTGTTTTTGATCGTGTAAACTCTACAGGTTTCTGATGATGGTGCGGTGATAGTTGTTTGGTCCTCCTTTAATCGAGATTGTCGTTTTGTATTGCTCCTAGTTCGCATCGCAATAGGTTCCTGGAGCTCCTCAGTGTTCTGTTCGGTTTCCGGAAATTTCATATTTTCTTTCTTATTAGGTTCAAGATGAATTTCTTCATCATTAACTTCGAGAGGATATAAGACATTTATTGGACGATCGAGAAGTTTCCCAGTGGGAGTTTCCACCTGAACGTTCCTAACTTTACCGTCTTTATCGATTTTGATGTCCTTGATCCGTAATAATTTCCACATTCCTCTTGGAATTCCCGATTCATTTAAGAGTACAATCTCTCCCTTTCTTGGAGTTCTTTTTTGTGCTCCTTTGGATGAGGTAATTTCCCTTTGCGTGCGTTCTCTGAGGCTAGTTAAATATTCGGTTCTCCAGATTTCCCAAAAAACATTGAGAGTTTTAAGGGTACTTTCCCAGTGTCTCACGAGTTTTTCTCTGGTATCTAGTCTATAAGGGGTGAATTCTTCCTGCTTGCTATAAACTTCATTTATAGTAGATGGAGCGAAGCGTTAGGCAAAATAAAATCAATTGGACGTATAATGACGCAATCGTCAAAATTGGCGTAAGTTAGTGGTCGGGTATTAAGTATACCTTCAACTTCTGCAATTAATGTTACCAATTCCCTTTCCGCTAGGAATTTTCTGCCAATGGCTCTTCTTAGCGCATTTTTCGTTAACCCAATTAATCTCTCGTAGATTCCACCTTGCCACGGAGCCTTTGGTATAATATTTTTCCAAGTCATTCCTCCCTTTGCTAAGAAGTTGGAGACTTTGACTTGTGTCATAAGAGATCTGAAAGCCTGGAATTGAGTGGCATTGTCACTCAGAATTAGCTCAGGACACCCTCGTCTCGCAACAAATCTTCGGATAGCATGCAAAAAGGTTTCTGCGGATTGGTCTTCTGCTAATTCGAGATGTATGGCTCTTGTTGTAAAGCATGTAAATAATATTACCCACCTTTTTGTTGACACGCTATTGCCCTTGATTAAAAGAGGGCCAAAATAATCCACGCCAACATGTGCGAAGGCTCTAGATCGATTGACACGAGTTTCCGGGAGACTTGCCATTGGTGGTAATTTAAACGATCTGGAGTTCCAACGTTTACAGATTCGACATCTGTTTATTATTCGCTTTACTTCAGTCCTGCCTTTGGGAATCCAAAATCTACTCCTTAATTCTGA